TTCCAGAGTCGACGTGTCCGATGACAACGATGTTGATATGGATCTTTTCCTTTCCCATGTTTAAGAGAGTTGCTTATTACCTAGAAAATCTCTTATCATCTATTGAGATCAGAAGAAAGCTTTGAACATTTAAACAATATAAAATTGAACAAAAAATTTCACTGCCACTCAGCTCAACAACGCTGCTCAGAGTGAGCACTGAGGACTAGTGTGATTATAGATCTTAGGTAGATCAAGATCAGGCGCTATTTTCGACAGTATCATTTTATGGAGGAGCACGTTTACTGAACATATTACATCAGGATAATAAGGAAAGTGTTGTAAAAAATTGGAACATTGCGATATAAATAATTTATTTTAGAAACCGCTATTCTTTCAGCATGGAACATAAATATCTGTACCGGAGCGTTAATCATTAACTGAGATCTCGAGGCAGTTTTCATGAAACCAATTATATCCACCTCAAGTTGATTGTTTCAATATCACTGTTAGTTGATTTAATTTTTGTTCAAGAGCTCCTGGTTGATTAGCTAGAACTGGATGCGATCGAACAGAGAGTGAAATAAGATGATTCATTTCCTGTAATTGATCAGATTTACAGACCATGAGTATGATATTTCCGTACCATCGGACTGAATTGCGAACGTTTATCGGGCAGCAAAGCTATCAAACGCTCTGGTTCATGGGAAAGAAGCTCGAAGAAAGCTCTTGCTCTGTCTAGCGCAGCTTCCCTTCTGCCAGTTATTTGAGAAAGCCTCTGCTGAACCCCCCAAACATCTCGACAGATTCTTTTTTTTCCAGCTTCAGATAAGCGAGGCATGTGCTGGCTAAAAGAAATATACTAGTCATTTAATTAAAAACCAAAAATACCTCGTATGAATGAAAATAGCAGCACAGAGATGCCCTAGCCCATCGAAAATATACCTGAGTTTTGGTTGTGAAAGAATACCGGACAATAACTGATGAAAAGTTTGTAAATCGCGCCCTAAATCAACAACCTGAACAGAGAAACGTATACTACTATGAAAATAATGATTATCACTTCTTGATCTATTTCTTCATGAACACTAGAGTTTCGAGGACGAGCGATAGGCAACAAATGGAAAAAGCAGTGAACTCGGAGCTCTAAGTGAAGCATTAACAAGCAGGTATCAGAAATCGATTCTAGTTGACGAACGAATTCTTCCATAACTTTTAATACGGGCTCCTGAGAATATAACTGCAATTTGAGCAATCCGAGTCTATACCTAACATTTTCTAATTGTTGCCCATCTTTCTGACGAAGATGAACCAAACATCCCCGAAGATTTTTCTCAATTTGCTTGGGCAGAGATGCAACAAGTTTTCGGACCTGAAAAGAAGATGCGGTACGCTATAAATATGTGGGTAGCAACCTCTACGGCAAACCAGCGCAAACTCTCATGTAGAGCAGCGAGAGCTCTCACATCATTCATATCAGTTACAAGCTCGATTTTCTCCATTTTTTTTTGTGTGGCTAAGTTACCGATCAAAATATCAGACTCTCTTTCATTACGCTGTCGAATTTCCTACAAAACAGAAAAAAAACTTGAAGCTGCTGCAGCATGATACCTGTTCACTCTCAATCATCGGAGATGTTGGAGTGCCTGCGGTCATATCTATAGCTGCCATTTGCCAATTAGGTAAACTCATTAGAAGTCTCGAGATATCTTCATCAGCTGCCCAGGCGGCACTAATTTTGCGGCGGCAAACACTACCTTCTATTTCGGCCAAAGACAATGTGGTCTGAATTGAGGCTTTGAGAGAAAACAACATAGAATCTTCTCTTACCCCTTCATACATTTTATTAACGTTTGCATTATATTCAGAAAGCAGAAGAAGCCAAATCGCCACAAATCTTTCTGCATAGAGATCCATATGCACAATCAGAGAATGTACTTCTCTACACAAATCCAGAACTTTTTCGCATGATGGGAGAACCTATGGATGAAAAAGTTAGATACGATAATAGCTTCCGTCATGAACCACGTTTTGATTTCGCCCCGTAGGGTTCTCGGAAGCTCGCAATGCCAGTTCCAACTTATCGGCTAAGTTTGCTTTCACTCGTTCAACAAACATATCGGTTATGAAATTGTGAGTGAAAATCCTGTCAATAAACAAACCCATAAAGTTACATCTCTTGAATTATTACCTGAGCGGACATGGTTGCTTACCGGTCGACTTCTCAATAGATTCCATCAAACCACGAAGCCATGGGAACATGGGTACTATATTATAAGCTGATGGTTGACAAACAACGAGAGCATTCTTCAAAATTTGAAATTGGAAAAAAAACAAAATAAATGGCTTACTGGTGCTGTGGAACTATTAACCGTTGATGTTCCTGCATAAGCGGTAGCATCAAACCGAAAAAGTCGTTTTTTGGATTCTAATGGATTCTTGCTGACCAAAGGAGTAATATCCAAGTGATCAGAGACGAGGGACTTCAAAGAATGCTTCATGAATGAAGTGAGAACAATGATCATACCTCTACTGCAGACTGTGCTGACTCCCAAAAAGAACTCATTACATGACTAGCATTGTCGGGAACATTTGATAATTTATTAGATTGACTAGGATCTTTTTTCCCTTCATTTTGATTGTTTGAAGTTGCGACGATTTCAGCTAAGACGCTATACGCTTGTTTGCATTCGTTTATCTGTTGCACAATCTATAAAACCGTTAATGAGTGTTAAAGAATAGATTCATTATTACCATCTGTATGAGTTGAGTCAAATGTGTTTGATCTCCTTCCAAACTTCGATCACCACTATCGATCGCTGACTTTGTACGAACTAAGTTAACAGAAGCAGCAACCTCAAATCATTAAGGTTTTTAGAGTTCGAAAAACATGACATTAAATACCTGCTTTCTTATTTCTAAACTAGAGAGATGAAGAACTTGCTCAAGAACATTGGAATCTCCCTCCAGTTCGCTCAAAGCAGCCACAGAAAAAGCCAAACGAGATGACAAAGATTGCTTTTCGGTTTTGGATATTGCCTTGAACAGGAATAAAGATAGAATGTTGGAAGATTCGTACCTTTTCATAAAGCTTTTGACATTGCTCAGATTCTTGAACTCTTTGGGGTGACAACGACAGAACAATGTCAAACATCTGAGAAAAAAGGGAAGAGTTCATTTAAACAGCACTACTTACATATTTCTCGAACGGATCCACTACGATCATAACAGAAATCTCACGAATTATGTTTTTCGCTAATGCCTGAGCAGATTCCAGAATTGACTTTCTTAGCTGACTTAACCCTTCAATGACAGAAAGTTTTCCATTTAACAACTCTCCTTCAATCATTATTTATAATTACATTTGAAAAAACTTCTTGGCACACCTGAGACACTTATCAAACGAGCAGCTTCCTGATACTGTCCTGAAGCCATGGCCAAGTCTACTTTCGAGGGAGCTTCTTTTAACTCTTCCCTGAACAGAGTGACTGTACAAAAATCATTCAAGAGTAACCTACAACTGGTTTAAAATTTCGCAGACATATTTCTGTTGTGAGTTTTCAAGCCAAAGCTTTTTCAAATCGTCTCTTCGACACTCCAATAAACTATGACAGGTTTGCAACGCATTCCGGACGTTGTTCACTTTTTCACGACATGCTGTTTAGGAATTGAATAAAAGAGCTCAATTTCTTGTAACAAACTTGTGATCCCGGTTGAAACTTCCCGGAAGGAAACTAAGCAATGTTCAACATCGTTATGTCGTTCTAAAATATGACAACTGTAGTCGTAGAACCGTAGCAAATACCTTTAACTAGACGATCAATCAACTTCTCAGATTCCTTAAATCCTTTCTCTAACTTTGCTTTTTCTAACTCTCGTTGGTCTTCCGATACACTCGATGTTAAAGTACGTATCACATTTATTAGTAAACCTGTCTGAAGAAATAGGAATGACAAAGCTAATACTGCGAAAACTTACCGAAGGCGTACCCGAGCTTGTTCGGTCCCCACCTGTTCTTCTTGCAGCAGGAACTGGGGGATGTGTAGAGGACATAATAAGCCGGAGGCCTACTAACACCTCTCTCGCTCACCGTGTTATCCTGAATACGATATACAATACTTACATTGGCAGTCAAATTAAGCTTATATGACGAGGAAACTGGGGTGAAAGAAACGAAACTACAGCCACGGTCTCAACGAAAAGAATACAACATAAGTGCTAACTTAAATGCTGACAATTAACTTCCAAACAGCGAGAAGAAGCTTAACTCCATATTTGGTTTTAAGCTGAAAGATAATCTTGACGTGTGACTGAAAATGTGTTCAACTCAATTACGACCTTTCACGTAAAATGGAAATAAAAATTATAAATTATTGAGAGAGCGGCTTCATGCTGAACCCTAACAACTTAATTCCTGTATGTTTCTGAAACAAAAAAAAGAAATGAATTGAACGAAATTCTCAGAAGCCCTCTGTTGGACGAAGTGAATATGGTCGTGTTAAAGTTGCTCTTCCACCGGGAAAGGGACTTATGGATTGGGTTCGCTTAACAGCTGGGAAGGTGAGCAAAACTATTTTAAACTCAATATTGTTTATGATATACACTGGAAAATATAACTTAAACTCAGATAAATGCTACAACTTTATATGCTTTTATCTGTTTTCCATAACTCGAACGCATTTTCACAAAATAATGTATTTCTTTAATTTATTTTACGACTTCGCAAATTGACAATCTTTCGATTACTTGCGGTCGGAAAGCTTTAACCTTCCTCTCGAAAGGAAAGACCGCGAGCTGTTCGATCGAATCTCTTTCCTAATTGAGAATTCAGCGTTATGTCGCAGCAGGCTGACGTGATGAACATTATTTAACAAACTCATAATGTTTCGTAATTTTCTGAGGGTTTGTTTATTACATTCATATTCTTTTTCCCCCAATCTTTGATTTGAATTTCAGTCACTCTCAAAGAAACGTTCTGGAATTGATAATGAAGAAATGTCAAAACATTCGTCACAAGACGATTGTTGGGTCATTTTGTTCGGCCAGGTTTCCAATTTTTTTCTTCTTTCATCTTCATTGATACAATTAGGTTTATGATGTTACCAAATACTTGGACTTTCACCCTGGAGGGATTCCCGAGTTGATGAGGGCAGCCGGGCGAGATGGAACTCCGTTGTTTAATCAGTATCACGCTTGGGTAAATTATGAAAACATGCTGAAGGCTTGCTTAGTTGGCCCTTTCACAGGGGAATTAAATAAATGTAAATGTTCTAAGAAGCATCAGTTTCATATACACCTGTTTTAGTACCTCCGTGTGGTCCTTCAACTATTGATGAATCACCTGTGAGCTCACCGAACCTGAATACTTTCTCTGTTCCCAGGAATTTATCTGAAGAGAACCTTGTTAAGTAAGTTTCTAAGCAATGATTACTGTTGATAGAAAAGTTCAGGCTCGAATTAAACGAACAAATACTTTATATAAGTAGCACATATTGGAATGAAATTACTACAAAAAACATTATAATTAATTTCTCCGAACTTCAGTCACATTTACGAGTATTGGTTAGGCCATTTGAAAAACCTTCTATAGAAATTGTTATTCGTAAGTTATTTTTCTTGTAGTTGTGCTATCCTTCACACTTTCAGCTGTTTACAACAATTCACTCTACACTTCATTCTATACGGTTTCTGTTGTTTCTGATCGAATTATTGTTCTCTTTGATTATGAGAAAAATGACCTCAATCTAGTCTTGAATATAAAAGGGAAAATAGTGAAAAAGAGACCGAGTGAGCCTTTCTCCCATTTGAAGATATTTGAATCCATGAATTATAGCCGTGCAATACCATAGGGGCCTCATTAGAAGCGTTAAAAATCTCTCTCATGACACTCTGCTTTACGACATCGCTCTACCAAAAAATGTGTACTTCGATATGCCTCTAGGACATCACGTTTCTGTTAAAATCAGAAAAGGAAGTGAGAATTAAAGGAAGGAAAATTAATTTCCGTTTTTACTTAACAGATGCCACTCTCTATCGTCCTTACACACCAGTCTGCTCTGTTTTGCCGCAGGAAACTCTGTTGGGATCTTTGCAATTCCTTATCAAAATATATTCTGATGGGATTTGCACCCCAACTTTAGGAAAATTAAAAGAAGGTATGAAAACGTTAACAACTCTAGTCTAAAGTTTTCAATGGTTTCAGGAGATGTTTTTGAGCTTAGTGATGCTATTGGCGATATCGATGTAGATGCTTTAATAGGAACTGAAAAATCACTAGTTTTACTTGCTGCTGGAACAGGCATAACCCCCATGATCCCTATTATTCGTCATAGATTATCGCAAGCAATAAGGTATGGTATCTATACCTGGAAAATGATCTGAGTTTTTAACTAAAGGCCCCCAACAAAGCTATTGTTCTATAACAAAACTGAGAAAGATATACCAGATGAATGTGTGATGCCGGTGAAATATAAAAATGATGTGATCGAGGTAATAAAAATTCACATTTCTTAGGAAAATGTTTTTTTTAGATTTCTCACATACTTTCAAGCCCTTCTTCTGAGTGGACTGGTCTGAGTGGCAGGATCGAAAGCTCGCATCTGCCTATCATTGACAACCAAACACAATTCTTACTTTGTGGGCCAGACGGTTTTATAAATTCGGCTCTTAGAATTCTAGAAGAGATAGACTGCAAGAAATGTAATATTCATGTATTTCAAGGATGATATGAAGATATCGTTTATTGTATGAAAACAACGACTTGTCAGTGAAATACCATTACGAATTATATTCTTTATAAAAAAAAATTCCTTACGAAGACTCATAATGGCATCCACTCATAAAACAACTTTTTTTTCATTCCCAACAAGTATATCTGCATATATAATAACAAAATTACAACAATCAAAGAAATTAGCGAGGAGCTGTGGTACTTAATGAACGATCTTTGGTAGGTTTCTCATCAGCTACAGCTTCTGCCATAAACAACTTGGCAACGTTTTCTCCGGTAACCTAAGAAGAGTGTATTCTGTTATAAGTAGCAAACAAAACTCATACCTTGATACAAAAATCAGCCAGAGACTGGGTTTCGCAGCAAGCTAACATAGACTCCATCATTCCATTTCTCGCCTAATATAACAATAAAGAAAATTTTTTTCTGAAAAATATATTACCTGGAGAGTAGGAGCCTTCATTTTCTTAATATCATCCATGGAAAGTGGAGGTTCTCCACGAGCGATTCTGTGCTCATTTTCAACTTGCTAATACAGAAAACTATTGGGGAACGATTTGATTGAACCTACTCTCTTTTGAGTTGTATTGAACACGTTAAGATCATGTCTTTGTTTTTCATTAACATATTTAGCATAAGAGGAAATGGATTTGTTCAATTCATCAATGTTGGCCATCATCCCTCGGACGCTTTTTTCAAGGGATCTACATAACGGAGTAAAAATAGGAATGGAAATTGTACCCTACCGTCTGGTTCCTAATTCAAGGTGAGCAGAGTACTTCTCAGCAACTTTGCTTGGGGCGAGAGCTAACTCAGCCATCATAACGTTGACAAGATGGCTGCTCTTGATAACAATTGGTAGTTCTTCGAACATTAATTCATATGTCAGATTGGCGGCTTTAACACTATAAAGCGAAATCAACCTTTGAAAATATTAAATAGCATACGCTTCTGGACTCCAATCTCCTCGAGCATATAACTCTAAGACTGGAAGAGCAAGACGATAAGCTCTAAGAGAGAGCTGGCCTTGTCTAGTTTTGACAGGGTCTAGCAATTTAAAAAATAATGAATATAAAAAAACAAGAATAAACCGTAAATTATGACAACTCCATCAGGACCATTACTCTGATAATCAAACATAGAATCAACAAGATCCTACAAGACTCTTTTGAGTTATACATAAATAAATAAAAACCAAACCTGAGAAAAACAAGCTCCGAATGGATGAGCTTGATAAAATCCAACTAATTCATAGTCAATGCTCATAGCTCTACGAGGAAGAATAAACTCACACAAAACATTAAATACCATACCTGAACTTTCTCAACATGTCCAACATTTCTGCTTGCTTCAACTCTTCGTAGGCTTGGTTAGCCTAAGAATAAAGTTTTGAAATTTAAACTGTGAATATTGTACCTGAACAGCATTATCGTCGTTTTCAAGAATAGGTTCGGCACGTGCTGTTGGGAAGCAGTTAGTGATTTCGAGCCTATTATCTTCCATGGAAACTAACCCAGTAAGCAAACCTTGACAAGCTTCACCGGCTACCTGTATGACGCTTTTCTCAATTTGTTTTGATATGCAACGCTAACCTCACTCATACCAGCATGAAGTTCACTGTCAACGTGTTTGACAATCTTCATGATGACAAGAGAATCCATTTGGATGTAATTCACCACAGGTGGGGCAATGGTTGCCGCAACAAGAGCATTCGCAGACATGGCTGAAGCTGAAAGAGAGAAAGTCAATGGTAACGTTCTGATAAGTTAAACATTTTGATAAATGAACAGAAGCCTAAATGGTATTGAACAAGTTAAAAACATAAAGAGTTGAGCAGTGATACTATATTTTAAAAGTTAAAGAAATTTAATGCAAATGATGAAATGGGAAATAATTCCACAAATAAAGTTTACGTCAGGGATTTTGCGGTTGGCGCAAATCAAGTGTTGCTTTGGCAGGGACCCAACTACATGTGGCTTTATAGTTTTGCATTTCTTACCTTAATAATCGGTGAAAACTCTTCAAACTTTCATTATTTTCAAGTTTTTCTCAATTTATTTTCTTATAGAAAGATGTGGTTAAGAACCAGCCTGTTCTTAGGCGTTTTATTCGAAATTATTGCTGGATCAGACGACCAATATGTAACATGTAGGAGTCTTGTGAAGTTAATGAACGCAAATGAAGGATCTCGTCTCCATTCACACGATGTGAAATATGGAAGTGGTAGTGGACAACAGTCAGTAACGGCTGTTAAAAACTCTGATGATGTCAACTCCCATTGGATGATCTACCCAGGTTTGTACTTCAACTGTTTCTTACTCTAGTTTCGCATTTGTTAGAACTGAAAGCTGATTGTGGAAGAGGAGAACCAATAAAGTGTGGTGACAAAATCCGTCTGAAACATCTTAGTACAGGGTGTTTCCTCCACAGCCACCACTTCCATGCGCCTCTTTCTAAGCAACACCAAGAAGTGTCTTGCTTCGGTAGTGATAAGGAGAGTGATTCTGGAGATAACTGGGAAGTAGTATGTAGCGACGATGAATGGATTGAAACAGAGGTTAATATTATTGCTGTTTTTTGGTTCAATTTTGTTTTACAGAGTGTCCGACTGAAGCATGTTATCACTGGAGTTTACTTAGCTTTGTCAGGGCAACAATTCGGAAGACCAATTCATGGTCAAAGGGAAGTTGTTGGTGTTGATGGAATCACGAACGGAGTAAATTGGAAAGTAGCTGAAGGTGTTTTTATGATGAAAAACAAAGACTAAGTTCTTAGCTAGCTTTACCAGCCATTGTTAATTGCCTTTCCTCATTGATATCTGTGATTGCCTAACATTTAGTTTATTTATATACTTTCGGGTGAAATAATAACTTATTTTATCTACCAAGGACGCAAATTGTTCTTATCCGATAAATGACTTGAATCGCTACTATAGTCCATTGAAAACTTCCCCGGAGCAGATTCGGTGAACTTGGACACAGTAGCTTGTCCTACATACTTGAAATCACCCATGAGGACCTCATGAATCGCTCCGATGGAAGCTCCATGACCAACAAGCAATAAATCCCCTCAAACATCCGAATTAAAGAAGCCTCACAATACTAAGCACCTTCATATTTCTCTGTCAACCGATTCAACGTAGTTCTCAAACGGGGAACACATGCATCATCTCCCATTCCTTCCTTAGGCATGGTATGCTAAATGATAATTTAGGAATCCTCGCGAACAAAATCAACCTTAGAGAACACTGGAATGTAATCTTCATCCACAAGATGAAACTTCTTTCTTAAGTCTTCAGTTGCCCAAAAGCTAGCAGGTTTCTCGCAAAGATAGAGTGCTTCACATAGCCCGGGTTCGGGCTGAGAAGTGGTGATTATCCTGTTTTTTTATTAAAATTACCTTGACTTTCAAATTCTTATCCCCTACAATGACCGAAGCAGTATGAATTGTGCGATCAAAAGGAGAAGCAAAAACATGATCAATGTTTATTTTCTGGAATCTGCAACTTGAAAATGTATTGCTTCACTCGTGTAGTATTCAACCTCTTGGAGCATTCCGAAGCCTGAGTACAACCTCTTTTGCTCAATTGTGAATTATCTCTAGCAAGTCCTTCTGCTTCAGGTAACCTGTTCCATCTATTGTTTATGTTATCTTCTCTGAAAAAATAAACAAAAACAGATTCACATTGATGGTTTGGTTAATGAAATCGACCTACCGCTCAGCATGCCGAACAACCCAAATATTCCGGGGATACTTCATTACTGAATAGTTAGCATAGAAAGTCAAAATCATATGGAACAATGAAATAGAAAAGCAGAATCAACTGTTCGATTAAGTGTGAAAACGAAAAATATTTGTTTATTGAGAGATCAGTTTCTACTTAGTTCAGGATTGAACTGCGAGTTATACTTGGGTTTTTTAGATTGTGGTTCTTCTTTTGCTTTAGCGAGCTCTGGATGCAGAACGAGTTCTGTTTTACCTCTCTGAAAAAAATTAACAAGAATGAAGGTTATTAAGAGTGTATTACCTCTGCTCTCTCTCTTTTTATCCTTTCTTCTCTTAAAATGGCTAGTTGGCTGTGCTTTGCAGCTAAGTACTTTCGTCTTTTCTCCTCTTCATCTTCCGAACTACTATCGGACCTCTTCCTTTTTTTGGATTTCTTGGACTTTTTACTTTTTTTCTTTTTTCCTGGAATAAAATTGTCAGTTCTGTCGGATCGAATTAACGAACTGCCGCTATCAGAATCCGAGTCACTGTCTGAGTCTGAACTTCGTGATTTATGATGTTTTCTCTTCTTCTTCTTTTTCTTCTTTTTTTTATGCTCTTCAGATTCAGTTGTAGGTGAGACCACGGGAGCCGTAGGCTTGACGATCGGCTTCGGAGCAGTTCGGAGACCTGGCAAGTTTTCATACCACTCTTTTTTCTTGTCCAACTCGTTCGTCCCTTCCCCCAACATTTTTTGAATACCCATTTTGGATTCCCATTCCTGGAAAGTGAGAATGGAATAGATGGTACCAGACTCTCATACCTGTTGCTCTTTTTTCTTTTCAATCTCATAATCTTTGTTCCCACTGCCTAAATTCTTTCGTTCTTCCCTCTCGAGGTCCTGTGAAATAGATAGCTCATGCAGCATCAAGTGAATTTATGGAAAAACCTGGAAAAAGTTAACGTGCCCCGTTTCGGTTGATACAGCCATATCTTCCTGGCTCGACTTTTCTGTGTTTCTGCCAAACATAGTTGTCATTCTAAACAAATAATGGTTGTTGTGATTTTGTATTGAGCGTACCGGTCATCGGCTTTTGCTCTTAGAGCTTGTAGCCTACGTTCATTTTCTGCAGTAATTGCTCGATCCAGACGTCGCTGTTCCTCCTCTTCAGCTTTAGCTTCATCCCTCCGAACACGGGCCATATTCTCTTTCGTTCGAACATGCCATTTTTTTTTTGGGAGGATATTCATATTTCCCTAAGCAAGAGATGATGGCCATTAAAGAATTTCCTTCTCAATATAAATGTAAGGAAAATTACCTGTTCGCAAACAATTGGAACAAAATATAGATTTATTTAGAAGGAGATAAAGGGTAGCTGATATGTACATTTCAAAAACTCTCCAATTATGCTATATTAATAATTTAACACATTATTATAAAATTAATACAAAGGATATGTTGAGAGTAATCATTTTAATTTGTTCTGGCTTCGTACACCTCGAACAAATAGAAAAAGGACCAATCCAAAGCACATTTACGGAACAAGTCGTAAGCGCGTACTTCAACTGGCCAAATCACAGATGAATAATAATATCACAACATATTTAAAAATTAGACGACTAACAACAGGAGATAACATGTTTCTTCATTCGCACATCATGCTTGGCACATATAGAGTGTTGATAGCGTCAGCCAAATGCACAGATTTCATGTGACGCTTGGTATCCATACCAAAAACATGTTCACGATGTCTAATAGGACGAGCATGATCTTCTCTTGCCAAACGATAAGCACGGGAAGCATTTATCTGAAAAATTCACAAATCCAACGAGGAACAACAAGCCACTACTCACCACTGTTAAACGAACCATCTCAGCTAATTCCGCTTCACCTACTAGAGCTCCGTCATATAGAGGACCGAATTCCAAACTGCTTGTAGTTTCAACCCGAACACGATAAGTCTTGAAGATGTACTAATTAAAAAGTGTTAGATCAAACTACAACCTTTTCACCCGCTTTTTCTAAAACAATCAAAACGTCACAAAATTTGGTTGCAATAGTTTCTCTTCGATATGCACGTGTGTGCTCCGACCATACAACATGAACCTGAACTTTTGGTTATGAAGGAACTTTCACTTAATCCAACCTCATCGTTTCCGATATGTTTCCACTTATGAGTTACATCTCCACTTAACTTAGTGTTGACGTGGAATATTATTTCTGAATCAGGGGTTGCATAATAGGGGGCAACTGAATCGATTGGAAGTCCTCCAGAATATCCCTCGTGAATTCCTATTCTGACCTCCCATCCAAGTTCTTCAACGAATCGATCAAACTCTGCAGAAGCTGACGTATTAGACATAATAGATTGTTTATCTTCTTGATCTTCAGCAACATATATGACAGCCACCTAAAGAATAATAAAAAATATGCAACATTTCTTTTTCAAAACAAACCTTATGCACTTCTCTTGCAGAAGTAGAATCCAAGTGCTTTAAATCCCTGTTGAAGTTTTGAGGGACTTCAGCAACACTTGGTACAAAACCAAAACTAGCAGCGAGAGAACGCCATTCGAGAAGCCTAAAACTGTCTGTATTACCCACTATAGTCACAACTTAATACCTTGCAGATGGTGTGGAAGGGGGGTTTCGGGCCATTGTTTTCAAAGGTTGAGGTTGACGACGACTACTTTCCAAAATTTGAACCCATGGTTCGATATCAACAGGCAAAGGTTTATTGTTGTTCGTTACTTGAGGCAAAGCATCAAATGGATCTTCCATGGCTCCCAAAATTCCCGACGCTTCACGTCCTTGAATGTTGAGAGCTTCAGTATTTCTGGTGTGAAATTTCATACCTGCTCTTTTTCCTCTCATTGCTTCTTTTTTAAGCCAAGAGTTGACGTTTTTGCCTTCCTTGCGATCATTAGCATGTGGTTCTAGCGTCCAGCAATGACGCCCTACCACTGTTCTCGACGTAACCTCACATTGAGGATCCTTATTCACACTGCAAATACCACATTTATAGATGTTGTTGTGAATACTAAGTACCTTATGATAGCGTTTTTGCGATGAACAAAAGTCGATTTATCCAAATTTTTTTGAGCGCTACAGTTAGGAGATTCGATTGAATTCCATCGAGCAACATTGAAGCCTGGTAATGGAAACTGGCTTCCCATAGTCACAATCGCTCCTGTGAATAGATATGAAAGCGCAAACGCATTTGTGTTATACCTTCTAATAGCTTGTGTTTGTCAGCAAGCAATCCTCGAATAACCAAAGGGAGTTCTTTCTGAGGCGAGCTCAAACACAAAGAAGTCATAGCCCATTCAATCTCTGTGCGAGTTCGCTCATCTCGGAGAACGGAAGCTGCTTTGAGTAGAGCTGAAAGCAGACATCAGTTAAGCATTAAACTATAATTCCAAACCTTGTAGAACAGTGCTACCGTTACAAAACTTGGTAAGAGATGACAAGCTGGAACAGAGCACTGGTAATAATCTAGAGACATAACGGTTTTGTTGAAGAACAGTCAAAAGCTGAAAAAAAAATGATAAAGATGCTTGACTGATACACCAACAAACCTTATTCATCAGTTCCAGATCTGCTCTTTGCAAAACAAGTAGAGTTAAAGCATTCATGCACATTAAAGACTGTTGAATCGTCATTTCGATAGATGAGAGCTGAAAAATTTCTGCATAAAGCTAAAGGATTCGGGAAGTACAACTCCACCTGTTTTAGAAGTATAGCTTCTGCTTCATTGTACTCAGTAGATATCAAGGCTAGAGCCTTCAACAGATGAATTTGAGGTGGCTGACTATTCGCAAGAAGCTTAGGGATCGATTGAATTAACAAAGGAGATAATACAGATAAGTGAGTAGGGGACATACTAGTAACGTAGGGCAAAACCTAAAAAACGGAAAAAAAATTTTTTTTTCAACTTTCAACTGATAGACCCACCTGTCGATCATTCGCCTGGATTAATCTCTGGAAGCTAAGTAAAATATGGGTTTGAAGTAACTTGGGAGCTGGTCTACTACAGTTAAGTACTGCACCGAGAGCCCCAATACAATGAGGGAGAACTTGTATAGGAGCGTTCACTAAGCGAGAAGAGAGCCAATGAGCAAGAGGATCGAGATTAACCTTAAAAAAAGACAATAAAAAATAATTCGAATGTTTAACACCTGTAGAAGCTGGGTTATTGTTTGAGAGATTGCTTCGATCGCAGTAATTGCATTTGCATTGGAATAAGGTCCAAACAGACACAGTACACGCCGCCATACTTGCAACCATACAGTGGAATCGCCAGACCAGGACTGTAAGTCAAAACGTGATATGCCTTTCATTCTTTTCTTCAAACCACAACAGAAGTTGTGACATCGTCAGTGTCATGGAAAACATTGTCCTCTCCTACATCTGAGCTATCAACTGAATGTTCATCAATGCTGGCTGTATCTGCTCTCTCTTTCGTTGATTTAGTTGCTATAGCTCCAATCTGACATGTCTATATTAAGATTAAATGTTAAAAAGAACTTAAAAACTTACTGTCTGGCGTTCCAGCTCTTCCTTTGAGAAAATATCTGTATGAGCCAAGTGTAGGACTAGGGCTCGAGTAACGCTTCGGACAATCTAGAAAAACGAGTTAACATACAATCAGTATAAAATCAGTGATCAGGAATCATTTTACGGATATTTTCGCAGATAGCGCGGTTGTGCTTCCGTTTCTTTTATATCTATTCAACTACTTACTTTAGACCATTGGTGTGCCATTTGAGCCCAAATGCCATGTTGAAAAACGTTGTGAATATCGTCCCAAAGCTTATCATCAAGCTCTATTCTCCGAACCGCCTAGTTATAATATAAGTATTTTACACAAGCAACTTGGTTCTACCTTGAGCAGAATCATGTTTGATAAAACTGTGGTGGCAAACGCCCCCGAAGTTTCTTGTGATGATTTGTCAGAATGAGAGCAAATTCTAGCAGCAGATTCACAGAGTCTGATCATCAATTCTGTCCTAAAAAGATTTATTGAATTCAGTTTAGAGAACAACGATTACTCACCATACGCGAACGCTCAAAGGTTTAGGCAACTGTATACGGTTTGCTACCAGATCTCGACAAGCACGAAGAATAGAGAAAGAAATACCCACAGTAGATTGAACTCTATCTCCAGGCTGCAGCAAGTATGGTGATTGAAAGAAAGATAACAACATATTAATTATTAACAAGGAGGACGATTCAATAGAAACCTAAAATTGGTACGTACAGTTTTATATTTAGTAATGAAACATACTTCGCCTGAGGCGACAAACGGTGGAATTTCAATCTGAACGAGCCAATTAGTTAGAACACTAACAACCTAGAAAAAAAGATAGTACGGAATCCTTATTCATTCTCACTTTGTGAATGACATTACTACATGGTAATGGCAAAACCATAGCCTCTCTCATTAAAGTAAGTGCCGTATTAGTTGCTTTCTGGGAGGAAAACAGAGCGTCATGGAAAAGTAGCATTCCAGCATGAATGGAGCCCGCAGGCTGCTGTTTTGCTCCTGCGACATTGTTTATCCATCGTATGAGCCAATATCTACATAAAATTTTTTTTAGAAAACTCATTGTTTCATCCGTACCTAGCGATTACAACAGGATCGGCCGTGTCAAGTGGTTCCCCACTATCTCCAGCACCTTCCCAGCCTCCGAAGATATCAACACCATTAGTTTCAAGATCAGGAAAGCATTCGTATATGTATAAATGAATAACTCTGAAAGAAAGAATCAATATCTGATTGATAATCTCGCAAACCTGTCGATTATAAACTTAGCACATTCTAATCGTCGAGAGTCGTCATTCCATTCTATTCGAGTCGATTCTCTTGTACAATACTCAAGAAACTTATCGAGGTAAACCTAATCGTAAGTCAGTCGGAGTTGAGATGATCATATCTTACTTGTAACATCTGGGCTCTCTCTTTAGCAGTAGGACCAGAAACATTAGGAGGATCAGACTTTGATGCATCTGTCCAGTGTACAGTGCCTAGAAAACTGTTGAGTTCAGTATGTGAATTGAGCTCTTACCTGCACTTTGACAGTATTCTTGTAGTACTAGCTCAGTGCTGTCACCGTTCCTCAGAGGAAAAAAAGGTAACAAACACTGGAAAACTCTATCCAAGTCAGGGGTAACTTTTCCAAAAACACTCAGACTTTGATAAAATATAAGAAAAAGTCTTATAGCTATTTTTCGAACTGCTAGTAGGTTTCTAGGATAAATAGCCTTTTTTAACAGAGACTCGATAGCATGCCGCTGCCATCCTGGAACAAATTATATATTTTAGTGAAAAAGAAGCAAATTACCATTTCCTACAAGCTCGGGAGCTAAACATAAAACTTGTTCAAGTGTCCACAACCCGCTTTCAGCCTCAATCGCTCCTGAAGAAAGTTATAATACGAGTAACTTCACTATGCCACACCTTGAGGATTAGATGCAATATCAGTAGCTAGTAATAACTCATCAACCAAATGGAAAGTTTCAAAACTGTAGTCATCAATCAGTTGCCGCTTCTCCTAAAAGATTCATCTTTTTCTCCCTATTTTGTTGTTGAACTTACATGAATTGATAAAGTATCAAGGAGAAATTTCAAATGTTTAACCCGACTAACACTATCCCTGAAATAATGATTATTTCGTGAAATTGAAGTAAATTTTCACCTATTCATATCCGTAAAGCGCTGTACGCTCGTCATGATGTCGGACGATTTGGCCTTCCGAGCAAACATGGCGGAGCGCTTTAGACAACTTCTTTATGACCTTAAGAGAAAATAGAAAATAAAAATTATAAAATAAATCAAGTCAAGAGGTATTTGAGGCGAGAAGAACGCTCCGGAAAGAGGAAGATTAAAAATGTAATATATTTTAGGCAATTCTTTTGGGTTATGTACAACAACAAAATGATTGGACTAGAAGCGATTGAAGGAACAACAAGGAATGAGAGTCAAAAAACCATAACTCAGAGAAGAAATGAGAACTTTTTGTGAAGAATTAATTTTCGGTTAAACAAAGGGCAGTGATTGGTTTCACGTGCCCATCAAATTTGCTGATGATGGTGCCTTTTTCAAAGTCCCAAACTTTTACTTTATGATCATGTCCTCCTGTGAACATTTTTCTGAAACAGAGAGGATATTCAAGGTAACTCGTTCGAAACTGCTGTTATATATGGATCACATACCTAGTGTCCTTCGTAAACAGAACGTCCCAATTCCAATCGCTCTGCGCATCCAAATATCTAGTAAGGTTATAATCCTGTGACTTGAAAAGATAAATGTGATTGTTGGAGAAAGTAATGACTAAATATTCTCCCTCGGGTGTGTATCTGAAATTATAATCTTTCATAATTTTCAGAAAGCTTCAAAGGTACCTCAAGCTTAATCCATGAGCGTTTACTACCTGCCGGAAATCCGTCAAGTTACAAATGGTACTAGGTTCAATACATGGATTGACGATTTCTTCAGGATCCGCTGGAGTCAAAGACCATGTAATCAAAAATCCTAGAAATCAGAAAATTTTATTAGGCAATAGAGGCTATAAATAGAATTTTCAGTTCATGTTCCTTCGATTTAAGGGTGAAAAGAAGAAGATGGAGCCTGTTCATGAGTTTTGTCTCAAGAGGCAAGCCATGAATCATGAAAATGCAAAACAAAAACAGAAATAAGTTTTCATGAAACCCAAAATAGTATTATCGATTGGTCGAAATGAATTGAAACATAACGAAGGTTTTTTAAAAGTATGCAGACCTCTGTTTGTAATTCCCGTGAGAGTATGACCAGCGGGATGAACAGCAAGTTTCACAACGAATTCCATCGTGGTCAATTTTGGCATCGGCAGACGAAACTGCAAGTTCAAGAAGTTCAAGTTCAGATTTTATCAAATATTGCAAACTACCTCGGTACCATCACTGGGTTTGCTTAAGTCCCATAATGAAACATTACCACCTTGATCAGCAATGAAGAATTCAGCTCCATTTATTAAAATTATTGAAGTTATTGGACTTGAAACCTTAAAAAAATCATTTGTAATACCAAAGGTACCGGAATGGAGGAGTAAATAGGAAGAATCAATACACTATGAGTGAGAGAGATAGAGAGAAAGAGGGAATGAAATATTTGCACAGACCGACAATAGGCAAGCCCAACCTGTCATATTATAGTAATAGGATTCCAAATATTAAAACTTGATGATAGGCATACGCTTTTAGAGCTTTTAATTCAAACATTTTGATGATTGTATTCATAGCAGCTTTCTAAAGAAAAACAGTTACCTGGAATGAATGATGAACACTGAAGTGGATGGATCTAGTGTTATAAACCCTACAAACTCCGTCTTCCCCGCCACTAAACATCCAATGACCTGATGGCTTAAAAAACCGTTTTAGACTTCAGTCAAGAGGAGATAACACAAACTTCAAATCCTACACACGTTATATTGCGATGGACGCCTTCAAATGACCCTACCAAAGGCGATTGCGGACTACTAATATCAAAAAGCCTAACTTTCTGCCAAGAGGCCACCGCCAAATTATTCGTATTTGGTTGAAAAGTCATAGCATTAACCTGTTGTATATTTGCTTCCAAAATAAAATCCAAAGAAGTAATACCTGAGCCTCGGCATGAGGCATACTGATCACAACCTTCCCAGTTGTAGGATCCCATACTCGAATATTTTGGTCGTACGAAGCGGAGACAATCTTACCCCAGCCTTCTACTACCATACCTAATGAGGAACTGTTAGATTTGAAGTTATATTTCGTAATTTCACAGATAATAATCGTTTAAACGATGTTATGATCACAATAGAAATCAATACAGATAATTACATGCTATAAATAAATAGTCACAACAATTTGTCAGTGCTTTGGCTTACAAAGAGCTAAAACTACAACAGATAATTTCATATAAAAGTTGATGAAGTGTTAAAAAGCCCGTCAATATCATTTAGTGCCCATATATCGGAAAATTGCACAATCTACAACAGGTAGACAATTGGAAAGATGACCCATCGAAAGTAATACTTGGCGAGGCAGAAGTTCGATAAGGAATGGAAAAAAAACGAAAAAATATAAAAAAAAAGATGTTTGAGGAATTAGAACAAAGTAAAAATAACTGAGTGAGAAGAAGTTCTTTAAGTGATACTAGATCGCTAAGAATAAATACGTATCACAAAGTTGAAAAAAGAGAGTTAATTGAATGACGCTATTGTACATTATAAGTAGATTATTCTCCTCTAAAAGAACTATTATGATGAGAAGATCGAGCTCGTGATGACACTCTGGAATAATTCCCAATAATTATTGATTACTGCCTTCATTTGCAATACCTCGAGACAGAAGCATGTTGTGGATGTCGATTATTGATGAGTCTACGCAACCTATTGACCCATTCGTTACAGACTTCTCTAGATGGAGCCATCAACATTAATTCGCGAACTCCAGAAGAAACTAAAGAACAGAATGATAAAGAGTGTAAAATTTATAACGTTACATTTGCATGCAGGAATATCCTCCATTGTATGTTCCTTGTGGATTTTCAGGCGGCAATCTTAAAGATTTGTTGATGGCAGAAATTTTGAGAGATGCTTACTTCGGCATTCGTAAGCAGGGGGAGGTCGTAACGTTCCTGAGAGCTTGTTTTTGCAAACGTCACAATAAGTCAGCATGTGGTATGTCAGTTCCTGGAAATCGTGACAATTCCAATCTTCTTCCTTTTGAGAGCTGTAAGCTGAGCTGAGATCAGAGGTGGAGGCGTGTCTACTGGCTTTTCCGGTTGATGGATCAGCTCCATCATACATAATCTGGTAGGACAGGTAAAGCTCGGAAGAAAAAAAAATTGCTTACATGGAAAATCCTCGCAATCTGTTCGGGTTCCGCGCGGACGTCTGCCGCTGTGACGAGACGCACGTGACACAGTTTTCTAAACATTACAACTATGGGAAGAATTCATAAGCCTAACTTACATCACATCAATAATAATATGAGGAGTATGATGATATCCGGTATGAGTTTCAGAATACAAAGAGAAATTGATAGGGGTCAACACAGCGAAGAATTGAATCCAATCTTTCTGAAAAATGGTGGTTTTGCTTTGCAGCATATACTTATTACTCAAACCTTTTTGCGACTTCCACCAGCCTTGTTTGGTTTCATAGAAACCCATCCATCAAACTCGTTGTTAAGGGTGGGAGGGATTTCTTCTCTTGAGTCCACAGATCTGAAGAAGAACACATATGAAACTAACATTCTTTGGTTCTCACCTAATCTCATCTATTCCTTTTCTCCGAATCAATTCATCGAACTTCTCACGGATGTCCCGATTTTCATTACGAAGTGTGTCGATCTCTCGCTCTGCTTGTTCAAGCTGTAAACTCAATTGAGTAAAAAGAAAAGTAAAGAAAGAATGTGAAAACCTGAAGTGTGAATTCACTTTCAGCCTTTAATCTTTCATTGTGAGATTCATCTAATTGGTGAGTAAGTTTTTGTTTATCCCCTTCCAAGGTTCTCTGAAACAGTTTGATGTCTAATCAAATCATGATAAAGAACATACGATTTTCACGTCTCTCCTCATAATTTCTCCCTTTGTTACCCCCTTATCTCCTTTTTTCGTGACAGTTCTTTTAGCCATCTCCTCTTCTAACTTTCTGATCAACGACTTTTTATGTGCGGTCTCATTGTCGACCTTTCTTTAAAAAAATTATTATTGTCTTTTACTTCTACTTGTTTCACTTACTGTTGAAGTTTCATAATTACTGCATCTTTTTCACATCCCTCGGACTGATTTTCCCGTTCTTGAAGTATAGTAGTATTCAATGAACTCTCCAATTCTCTTTCTTTCTCCAGAAGCAAGTTGATACGAACTTCCTTGGCATTGAGCTCCTTTGATAGAAAAGACTATAAACTGACACTCAATTTACACTTACCTTCTCGTGACGATTGACAAGTTGTTTCACCTCTTCCTGGAGCATAGTCTTTGATTTATCAACTTCGGCTAAATTAGCTTCGGCAATATGACGAGCCAATTTCTCACTTTCGAGTTGGTTTCTTACTTGTTCCATTTCACCTCTGAAGAAGATCGTTACGAATAAAGAAAAAGTGTGTCTTACTGCAAAGCTGGTAAAGCATTCCTATACTCATTTACTTCTTCCTCTGCAGTTCTAGTTTCCTTCTCATATAAGTGCTGTTAACCAAAACTATAGAAACAGAAAAAACATATGTATTACCAAGAAACGTTCGGAGCTCTCTAGCTGCTCACGGAGAGAGTCAAGTTGGCATTGAAGCCGAGACTTTTCTCTAGAAACAGTATCTAAACGAGACTCCAACCGAAGCTTTTCTTCCTTAAGCTTGTTGTTCTCCTGAAAACATTGATTGTCACCATGTTGATGAAAGAATAACCGACTTGCTCAAGATATTGCTCATTACCCATCATACTTGCCAACCTTTGAGAAACCAAATTAAGCTCTGACTGTGCATTAACCCGTAATCTTTTTTCACTATCTATTTCGTTTCTTAGCTGATCAATCTGAATCATTTGATGTTCAAAATGCGTAAGGATCGGTTGTTCTCACATGTTTTTTGTTGTTCTCAAGTTTTTTCTCCATTTCAGCTTCATTTTGTTTAACTAAAGTTTCCTTATACGCTCCATTTTCTTTTCTCTCATCCAAAGCTTTGTTGTACTTCATCATCAGTTCGTTTTCCCGTATGTTGCGATCATTGATTTCGGATTTTAACAATTTACATTCTTTCTCATAATTCTGGAATAGTGAAAAATATCATCAAGAAGTTTAAGGAAAAGACTCACTTCAGCTAGAGACGAACTTCTTCTGTTCACCTCTTTTTCTCTAGCCAAGTCAGTATGAAGTTGACGAAGTTGAGATTGTAACACTGTTTCCTCTTCTTTAGTCTATATTATCAAATAAGAGGAAGAAGAAAAGAAAACTAATTTACCGTAAGGAGCTTAGCTTCCAAAGCGTTACAAGACTCTCTTTGAAGTCGAAGTTCATGCTCAACCCTTCTCAAACGATCTTCTTGCTCAGACCCAGCACGTGCTCGATCTTGAACATCTTTGAGTTCTCTTTCCATTTCATGGATACGGTCCGAGTATCGATCTCGTTCGGTTTCTAATTGACGCACGCGATCTTCTTTTCTAACATTATCTTCTTTCGCTGTTTCGCATTTTGCTTGAAGCTCTAGAATCTCTTTACGTGTAGATTCTAACATTGTTTGGAGAGCCTGATACAAAAGAAATAGAAAGCAACTCTCATTATCGCAAGTACCATAATCTTAGAATTGTCTAAGGATTCTTCTGCAGAAGTCTTGGTACCGCTTTTCTCCTTTGCAACCTGCATAGCCTTATTGAGCTCTTTCAGAGGACTATAAAGAAACAATAGATACAGTTAAGATTCCTGTATGTACCTGAATTCATTGGAATAAGTGAAACCAATGAAAGGAAGTTGGTTTCCATTGAAATTTTTCGGAAGCTGGAAAGCATCGTTTTTATCGCCTCCATTGGACTCAATTTCTTCAAAATGAGTTGTGTCATCGTCTCCACTCAATTCAGGCACAACAGGAGGGTTTGCTAAAAAAAAAATTATACCGGTTCTGTTCATAATTAAGCTAACCGTGTTTTAAAGTATCGAAGTTCCACTCGTCATTTTTGAAAAATGGATGGCTCTTAATACTTTCTACTCCTGATTTTCCTAAGCGAACTTCTGCCTTCGATAAGAACTTCCTGATCAAATCCTACAAAACAGAAAATAAGAACGATAGAGAACAACGATAGACAAACCTGGGCATTCTTAGAAATTGAGGGTTCGTCAGGAAAACGGAGAGTTTTCTCGTGATGCATAATGTTAGAATAAGTAGTTACCAATGCTTCTGCATAGAACGGTGTTTCACCAATGAGCATCTCATATATGAAGACTCCGACTGACCTAGAAGCAAAATGTAGAGGATATTTGTTTTAACAAAAAGCCATACCACCAATCTACTTCAACTCCATATTCTGCTTCTTCACCTTGTTTTTGGAGAACTTCAGGAGAAATATAATCAGGTGTTCCAACAGCTATATAAGATAACTAAGTTTTTAAAAAGGCAAGCTCAGCGAACCTGTTGAACATTTTACGACTCCGTTTTTGTTCATTCGAACACAAGTACCAAAATCAGCTAACTTGATATGGCCAGATTTGGAGATGAGCATATTATCTGGTTTCACATCCCTATGAAGGAAAAAAACTGATGAGTTCGAAACAAAATGTTTTACCTATGAATATATCCCATATCATGAAGTGCAGAGAGTGCTTCAACTAATTCAGCGGTGTAGAACCGGGTCCACTTCTCAGAAACATCATAACTGAAAAAATCAAACTTCTAATTGCGGTTCAATTAGATTAAACAAACGTTGTCATTAGGTTGACAAGATCTCCTCCAGGCATATATTCCATAACCATGTACAGGTACTTAGTATCCTGGAAATAGAATCGTTAAGCAGATTTATTTTTTATCCAAGTAACCTGGAATGCATAATGCAAACGAACAATCCATTCAGAATTGGCATGAGCCATGATATCTCTCTCTTCCCAGAAGAAAGCAGAGTCCGATCTTTTTATCTGAACTCAGAATATGAGATAGGTGAGAAAAGTTCATACAGCTTAAAGATTAGTGCAACACATGGTTTGCAAACAACATTAAACTAACAACAAAACTATGAGCATAACAAACCATATCATCCTTGTTCAGAAGCTTCATCGCATACACATTATGAGTCGACACATGACGAACAAGCTGAACCTCTCCGAAAGCTCCTCTACCGATAACTTTGAGCAGACGAAAATCCGTTCCCTTCAGCCGAAGTTGCGATAATTGTTCAACAACACTCTGATCTGCACAACACAACATCAAGCAACAGCATATTACGAACATTTAAATTAAATAAAACTATATCACTTATAGTTAAAACGTTAAGTAAAGATGTAACTGAAGCATGCCATAGAAGATTAAAATAAAGCTTGCTCTACTTCAAGTTTTAGGAAGAATAGGACTTACATCTCGATATAAAGTTATCAATATTTCTGTTATGTCTCAAGTGAGGTATTTTACAGTCAGCAACAAGCGCAGCAATAGCATCCTTCAAAGAAACTTATTAATGAGCAGAATGTAATTTTAACTTACGAGCAAACTTTCTATATTGAGTGGAGAACGTGGGTCGAGCAAGCGCTCGACCAGCGCTGTAGACATCGAAACCTGAAGAATAAAAAATAGTAAAGAATCAATGCCAAGAATTTGAAACATGAAAAGAATGTAACAAAAATCAATGAGTAAAATAAGCGTGAAACTCATAAAAAAAGGCGCTCTTGCACAATCCTCTAAACCTCCTTCCTAAGAGAACTCCGCCCATTTTTGTACGCAATTCTTTGCGTACAAAAGTACATCTTATGAACTCCTCTACTATGCTAATGAGCATTAGTTTAGTTCGGGAGGTGTACGGAATGTATGGAAGTTTGTGCAATAGCGACAGAAAAGACAGTGTTCAAATAAGGTATTCGCAAAGCCCTTATGCCAATGAGTCACATAGCAAGGTGAGCTAAAGATGTTGACAATTTGACACATCAATGATATATAAGAAGTATAAGAAACTAGAAACCAAAGCTGAATGAAATCATTTTCGACAAGAGAAGGTTAAGAAAAACATGCACAATAAACAATACAATATAAAACACAAACAGAGAAAGGATCGAATTCGCCTTCATAATACTCCTTTCGAAATATAATTTTGATAAAGCATAGTAGGACGAATTCAAATACTGCACAGAAGTACGACTATGAAAGAGAATGAATGGAGTTCAATTAACCACAGATCACATACCAAGGAGCATTAAATTATGAAACTATTTACAAACTGAGTATCAAAGTAAGCAAAAAAAGATAATTAATTGAACAGTATATGAATAGGAGATACGAATGCAACACACCAGTCATAAATACGTCATCATTGATCGGAAGCAAGGAGTCACTATGTAAACCAAGAACTTATCATATTTTATGAATTTTAATTGATTTATTTAATGAAAAAGAAATTTTTAATAAAAAAATACCAACAATGCCTTCTTTCTCTGTAATGGTACACATCGCGCGGGGCGTCGCGTTCAATTGCACAATTCTTTAAACCCCTCTAGCAAGAAAAATAACCAAAACGATTACCTAAACAAGTTCACTAGTAGTCTTGAACCAAACATATTTTCAAGTGAGAGAAATGTAATTAAGAAATATATAATTAAACGGATTTTCAACAGAACCTGGCATACGTTATGCGGGCGGCGGCCTGTTTTGGGCAGGGGTCCAGCGGCCGGTCGTTGATGTTGAGTCAGTCGACAGCCGTCCTTGAACCATTTGCGGCGCTCTCTCCTTATTTGGCGCCCTCTCCCCAAATCAAAATCAGATGATTCCGAGGCTTCTCCAACTGATTTACGATTACACTACCTATTCTACCTGAAAATAAATATCATAGATATGATAATGCAAGAGCTATTCCATGACGAACGCTCCCTAGTGCTCATACACATGGAATGATCTTTAGACGTTTGTGACTAGAGGCTATTAAATCCAACCATGGCACGCTCTCTTTCTTTTATCTGACTGAACTTTCGCTGAAACCTTTCCTTTTTTTTGTTTTGTTTTGAACTATCTCCTCTTCTCTATGGCGAATTTAAATTTTTGAATTGCCGGTCTTCTGTGATTCAATCCATATGGTCAGTACTATAGTGACTTATTTATTGAACTGTGGACTTTGTGTTTGAACATTGAGAAGTAGTAGTTGTTTTTCCTTTTAATCACATATAGTTAAGAAAGATAACAATTCCCACGGAATAGGAATGTTTTTGAATTTTTTCTTGAGTTGTCATTTTCCAGATCATAAAATCATCATAAAGTATAAACCAAACAGTTTTATAACAATATGACACAATATCATCTGGATCATATTTACAATATATTGACCGTTTTTTATCGAATTCTCGTTATTCTCTCGGTTCTAGTATATTTGTTATAACTTCAGGTTTATGATAGCCGACAGGAGGAACTCTTTGATTGAAGCAGTTAGAGGCGAACAAAAATCTTCACTGACAAAAGAAAACAACTTTTCTACTCCTATAAAGAGCTCTATTCAGGACAGGCTATCGGCGCTTTCAAAGGTTTTGTTTCTATTTGCTGAAAAAACTTTTTAATTATTGTATAGAGCGCTGATTGTTGGCAGGATAGAGTAAAGAAAGACGATGATCTCTCAAAGTTAAATCCTTCTTCTCGACGTATTCCTTGCGCTAGGAAACCTCCTCGTCCTTTGGGAGTTGAAAATAAGCCACCAACTAACATAAAAACATCAATAAGTTCCTTCGGTTAGTAATGGAATATACTTCTTATTTGAATTCGTCTCTCCAGATAATCCTTCGAAAGTGGGGATCCTTCTCAATATTGATAAAGGACTTGAATCTTTCTTTCCTCATCATAACAATTCTAGCCCGGACGTTTCATTAAATCTTGATCTCGATTCCGTAGGTAAAACCGAAGTGTGAGTTATCCATGTTCATTCTCTACATCGGATATGAACTATTTGCATAATTATATGAGGTTTCGTGTTCAGTTTGGTGACACCTCGCCGTCCTAAGCCACGGAGTGTTCATCGTGGAAATTTGCGTATAAATCGACTTGCTGAGATCGACACAACAAACATATGCATTGCTGAAGTTTGCGAGATTATCTCACTGATCCTTAACCTTTTGTTCAGGATCCTAGAGACAGTCTGCCCAAAATATCAATATTGAAAGATGATTTGTCTCAAGATATTGCAAAATCAGCTAAAGAAGGACTGCAAGCTATTGAGGATTATTCAGCAGCGAAGGATTGTTTGAAACATCACGATAATGCATCTCCGTATCCAAATAAGATGTTGATTAGAGTGAAAGGTTCTAGAGAAACTTCTCGTTTGTCTATAAATGTTTTGATTTACAGGAGATAAAAAGGTAGATGTGCGTTTAGTCGCTCCCGTCTCTTCCTCCATACATAGCAGCGGCGTGTTTATACTTGTCACACCTGATCGACTTCTCAAATATGAAGGAGAAAATAGTAACATCTTAGAAAGAACTAAGGTAGTGTATATGAGTTGTAAAACAGATGAGATTATTTGTCAATCTTCACTACAAGATAACGCATTCAAACATTATGATTACAGGCTGCCCAAATATGTATTGATATTGCTACAAGGGGAGATTTGTGTTGTTCTGCCAAGAAAGTAGAAGTGGTCACCGGTTTGTCTTATGCCAAATTAAGAGAACGAAAAAAGGGCGCATGAACGGCATTGTGAACCTGTTCTTTTAAGGTACAGCTACAGCCTTTCTCAAATTGCTTGACGGAGGAGAAATCGGCGAAGAGCCGGCTTTACCCTTGGAACCATTCGAGTGTACAGTGGCCAGATTAAACCTGGTATTAAGGTGAAAAACTTTGTTTGCACTCCGCAAAGAGTACTCTCCAGCTTCACACGAACTTATTTTACAGAATCACTGACGATTATAAACTTCAGTCGCTTATCAAGGGAGAACGGGTTAGATGTTCATTACTGCAGCCTAATGATGTATGTTTGACGAATTATTAGACTAGTTTAGTCGTCAAATTATCTGTTTCCTATTTTGGTACTGCGAGTCTCATATTCAGTATCATCAAAGAAAGAAGGCGCTCCTTATTAGAAATAAATTTAATGCGAGGGACTGTTGGGGGAGGGAATATGAGCGAGGATACATAATATCTGAATAGATTTCGGTTAATATTATCCTTTAGTAGACCTATTACGCTGTACGACGACCTCTTTCTTTTTCTCAAGGAGGGAATGTTATGCACAGGTATCCATCCAAAAGAAGAAGAAGGAGAAGAAGATCGTCAGGAGATATAGTAGATTAACCGTTGAAAATAGCCAAACAAGGGACGAACTTTCGTTCGTTAGTCTTTTCCGTTTAAAATATTTTAATTGTTTATAAGTTGAAAAGAAGGAGAGATTGCTTGGGTCCTCTTTTGGTGTTTACGTAGCAGAGTAAATAAATTCTCTTATTCTTGTCTGTTGGATTGTCGACGGACGAATGGACGACGATGTCTTCGACAACGAACGGCTCACATGAAAAGCATTTTTCGCTGATTCTCTTGCTTTCTGGGCTCTTTTGCTATACTTAGTCCTTTTATACTCTTTCTCTCGCTTTCTCACACTTCGCTCAGTGAAAACAACGCTGTGCATCATCCATCCGACTGTAGAGGGACCAAGAGATGAGATGTACACTTGTTCTAAATAAAATGAAGATTACTCAATGGGGCAGAAAAAAGACAATTCTTCATTGTTTATCTTTTTCAGGCGCTAATTTTTGATTTCGGCTCCGAAATATATGTTTGGACCGGAAGAAACGCACGAAAAACAACTGGGCGATATGCAGCGGAGTATGCTCAACAACTAGTAACTATCTGCTCTTCGAAATCCACGTGATTATCATAAATTTAGATGAAAAAGTCCGTGCCCGGTTCGAGTGAGCTATTGGGAGAAGATTTCAAATATGAACGTCCTGATTGGGTTCTTTACAGACGGCTAGTCCAGGGAGTGCAAGTATTACTTTCAACCTTGACCATATTTAAGTTTTACCTTTCTAGGACATATTGTTCTCCTCGAAGTTCTATGACTGGAAATCCGCAGATGCAAAGTTCATTGGCTCTCCTATGACTCCTATAAATAGCAAACTTTATGTCAGTTATAGGAAGAACAAACGATATTTTCTAGTCTTTATAGAGTCCGCAATCAGTGAAAAGAAATTTGAGGGAAGAATCACGACTATTAGGAGATTATGTGGCATCTCTTCGTCATCCTCCACCGATTACTACATTAGGTTTTTAATACAATAATAATACCAGAAAAGAAAGAAGAACTTACAGAGGATCAAGATATCGGAAGAGAAATGAAGGATGTTGTAACGGAAAATCAACAATTTTTTGAACTAAGAGGGGAAGAACTTTTGGAAATTGACAATACGACTGTCCTTCGTTCCAATTCTTGTTATGTCATTAGATGGCAATATCGGATTCAAGTGTCAGGTAATCGAAAAAGTTGAGCAGCATTGACCTCTGCTGATAGGTGTTCGAAAACTTCAAACTGGAGAGGAATCTGAGAAGGAAACTGGAAGGGAACGTGTCGCATTTTTTTATTGGCTGGGCAAAGACACAACTTCAAAACAACAAGGTCTCTGCGCTCTCAAACTGAGTCATATGGATAGAGACAAGTATCCTCACATTCGGTATGAATGCATTTGAGAAGTTCAAAAAAATGTCCGTTCAGGGTTATGCAGGGAATGGAGACTTCGCTCTTTCTCCAATTATTCCAAGGAAAACTTGTCATTAAGTTGGTCATTCATAATTTATGGTAAACATATCTCTGTTTCAGAACACCCTCTAAAGTAGAATTAGCTTACTTCCTCGTTTGCGGAGCAATACCCCAGGAAGGTCATGCTGTACAAATCGACGAGTCACAGCCTCTACGCGCACATGCTGTATATATTGAAATTAACCAAAACATTCGACTTGTAGCAGGTAACTCCTGCATCACATACTTATCGTACTAATCGAAAATAATAATAGGCTGTGACTGCCGTGAAAATGCTGTCAAAACGGGTCTGATACTAGCAAATGTGATAGAAGATAATCACAAAACCTTTTCTCTGTCGGTACGATTGTGGCACGGGCAAAACATTTCTCAATTTTATACCTTACAGCCATCAGCCTCTACCTCAATCTCTATTCAAGGCGATGATAAAAGCCTCAATTGGATATTCGCTCGCGGTCGACTTCATTGCCCTCGATTCTTCAGAATTTACGAAACAGAAGTTGAGGAACTATTTTGTCCTCAATACCATAATGAACTGGAATTTCCTATTGAGCAGAATCGATTATCTGATACTGTATGAGAAAAAAAGTGTTTATGAAAACTCATACAATTCTTCGTTTCAGGTTATTATTGACGCCGGAAAACATCTTTGGCTTTGGTCTGAGAGACCCCCTTCAAACTTCACTCTTCATGTTGTTCAACAGTACTGGTCGAAAAGTAATAGTCAAGCTACTGTTGTCATAAAAGGAAATGAGCCCAGTGAGTTCATTGCTCTTTTCTCAACTTGGACAAGTTGGGAAGCGGTGGAGCAACCGGTGGCTTCACCACCCAGAAACTTAAAGGTTACAATCTACTTTCTACGTATTCCCTTACAAGTTTAATATTCCAGGAAGTCGTCGATGAGCGCTCGAAAACTTTTCCGTTAGAGGCATTGCGGAAAAGAACGGATCTGCCAGAAGGGATAGACCTGAACAGTCTGGAACAGTACTTGACTGATGAGGAATTCCAGAAAACTTTTGGAATGATGTTGCAAGAGTTCCACGAACTTCCTGACTGGAAACAGATCCGTCTTCGGAAAGAGGCCGGCTTGTTCTAGCCATACTAACACCTTGTATATACTCTTCCAATAATGGAAGATATTGTCTCAAAGATATAACGATGCTCAACGTTTCATTGCATAATATTGTAACCTTGGTAAAAACAATTTATGATTAAATATTTTGTACAATGTAAAACATTCAAATCCAAACTTCTCTCTACGACAGCATATTGAACATCATAGAAGAAACCTGAAACCATTCTTAGTATGATATCAGAAGAAGAAGTTTACGAGAAAGCCAAAACATAAAAACGTGCAGAACTACATTCTTAAACTAAACACCATTGTTAAAAATTCTTCATATTGAATGGTGATAACTCCATCTCGGTCTGAATCTTTGTCTCTGCAAATAGAAGTGAAAAAGTCGATAAATTCCAATTTGTTTACCTGAAGGCAGCGGTTAACGTTTGGAGAACGACACACAGCTGGATGAAGTCATCAAAGTTAATTTGTCCTGAATGAGTTCGATCGAACTTGTTCATTAAAATGTTGTAAAACTGTTCAGACAAACGATATCCTGAAAAGAATTGGGTAAAATCAACATTGAGGAATTTTTCAACCAAATTGAGTGAGAGCGTTTCTAAGTTCATTCCTGTCGATATTACCACTTTGGTCAGTATCAAATCCCCTAAAGCATCTAGTCCAATCATTGATATACTGCCAAAGAGCCTGTAAATGCCTTGATATACAACATAGAAGCAATGATAGTATACTTGGAACTCCTGAAAATTTATGGCACCATCTCCATTTGAATCAAACATTCCAATCATAAGCCGACAAGTTTCAGGGTTGAATGGGTTCCAAGTTCCATTAGAAAGGGCTAGCTGGAGCTCATTCACACTAATTTGGCCTGATCTAGAGGAAAATTGTTCCAGCCATCACAGTAAAAGAACAAAATTACCTGTCTTTATCGACAGAAGCAAAAATATTCTGAAGATTCGGTTGCTGTTGATAGGCCATGTTATATCTAAATTTCAGGGCAGTTGGGAGTGAAAAAGGATATCCACGTATAAGAAAGGGAACGAATACACACAACACTTCGATCGATAAAACACAAAACTAACAGTCAACGAATCTCACACTACCTTGGCCAAGTTGGAACAACAAATTGCGATAGAAAGGTAATGAATCGCTCTTAAACAGTTCCACCCCAAAATTTCACTTTTACGTCTTCTTGTCTATTAGTCATCAATTGTCTACACGTCAAGTTCATATGGTTATACACCTCTTAATATTATCATGATGAGTCAGCCCAACCCCCACACCGTGTATACTCACAGCCAATCGATAAATGCAATTATTTCGTAACAGGAAACTATGTTGAAAAAGCAAAGTACAGCAGACATTTGCTTTCATAATAATGACCATTCGACATTTATGTCAAAGAATACATCTGTCTTTTTTAATCCTTTGATTATGTCAGACATTGATATTTATCATCTTCAAAATCATCTGGCCCTTCTTGGATCGCAACCGTCTGACTTACAAATAAGTTGTGAGCCATGTCCAGGTCAACTCTCGGACAGCGCGATAATTTCCTTTTTGGTTTAAACTTACTGCAAGTGAAGGTTTTTCCCGCCAAATTATTTCCACCCTTTAACCCGCCTAGTCGAAATTCAATCAATAAACTTCAAACTTCACATTTCACTACAAGAAAGCATTTATTTAGCTTTTAATTCTGTTTTTTATCATGATCTACCGTTTACCCGAAAATAGTTTAAAATTCAAAGGCACTGCATGGATCCCCTTTGGCGGTTATACGCGCTTTTCTAAAGGTCTGCCACGCAGTTTAAGCGGGAAAATTTTGTTCAAGTCTAATTCTTTGCAGACGCATTGAAATGGCTAATCGATACTGGTAATATATATATATTGTAGTTATTTTATAGAGAAACTCTTTCATTCGTGTACGCTCGCTCACTTTGCTATCTTCTCTTTGGGTGTTAATGGGGCATTAAGTTTTTTCATTTTAGAGTTATAAAATGTCTGAGGTACCAAATACAACAAGTGATGGAGGTGAAAATGCTGGTGCTCAGGAATATATTAAACTTAAAGTAGTCGGCCAAGTGAGTTTCGATCAATTCTCGACATGGTAAATCTGAACGAACTTGTTTCAGGACTCTAACGAAGTACACTTCCGCGTTAAGTACGGAACTTCCATGGGAAAATTGAAAAAATCTTATGCCGACAGAACAGGAGTGAATGTGTCATCCCTGAGGTAGCTTACAGTCCGATAACTATATCTTCAAAGTCTGCTCATTTAGATTCCTTTTTGATGGTCGTCGTATTAACGATACCGATACTCCCAAGACTTTAGAAATGGAAGAAGATGATGTTATTGAAGTTTATCAAGAACAGTTGGGAGGAAGCTTCTAAGAAATTTTTTTTGATTCTCAGTATAGACTGGTATCACTGCATCTCTTAGAAATATAAAATAACCATCATTACACTCATGTTCCTTGCTAACCACGATGTTGTGTACTATATTTTGAATTTTTATTTATCAGTAAATGTCTTGCTCGTTAAAATGTTTCTGAAATCATATGGAAAGTAAACGAATTCGTGTTATAAGGTTATGTTTATTCGATTCTAAATTTATGATTTAATAAGTTATGGAAGTTGTTTAGCATTGGTTGAGGAAAAGCTTGATGCTCTCTTCTATCTCCTCAGATGTAAGCTTAGGGCCAGCCATGAAAGCCTCGATTTCTTCGACCGTGCGAGGTAGATCGCTCATGTTCTCGTTCCCTTTAGCCCAAATAATAACATCATCTTCTATGCGAACCTTAATTAATATGTCAACTAGATATTACGAATGTCTCCCTACCCCTCCTGTTCCTCTGAACTCACTGATCTTATCTTTGTTCAAGAACTTAGCGATTTCCGGTTTTTTGAACGCTTCATCAAGTAATGTGTCGATGAAATAACATCCTGGTTCGATGGTTATTACCTTGAACTAACGTTTAAAAACACTGATTGACACTCAACAGACCATTCTTTCCTTCAATGTTCTAGTAGTCCTGAGAGATTTCAGACCTGGTTCGGTGGAACGGGCTGTAGCGTCCTCAAAACAATGAATTGGAAGAGAAAATTGAACGCATTTACCCCAAGATAACCTCCCACATCATGAACTTCCAATCCTAGCAGATGTCCTAAGCCATGTGGTTGGAAAATCGCTCCAACTCTAGCCTTGAGCATTTCGTCAATATCACCTTAATTGCTCTATCATGCAAGTTATGAGCAATGAAAACCTGTAACGATGCCAGCGTTTTTCAAATGAGTCAGAATGACCTTCTCGGCCAGAATGTGCATATCAGTCCATCTAACACCTGGAAAAAACAGTAATGTGAGAGTACAGCTAATCCAACCTGGTTTTGCTTCGCGTAAAACTGTTTGGTTTGCATCAAGAACGGCATTATATATAATTTTCTGATTTTCAGTGAACTTTCCGTTAGCAGGGAAAGAAGTAGTGATATCAGAAGCTGAAACAGACAAAAAATGTCATTGAAAAGCTGAATTTGTATGTACCGTAACACGAATACTCTGGTCCCATGTCAAACAAACACATATCTCCATCCTTAATAAGCTTCCCATTTGGAGCATTTGCATGTCCATAATGAAGAACTGAGCTGTTGCACCCACTAAAATTGTCATGTTATTGCATTATGTTATATGTAATCTAACGTAGCAGCGATGCAGGTGTATGCGAGATGACGACATCCACCATGGTAGTGGGAAATATGACGGAAAAGACTGTAAGGTCGGAGCATAACTTTTAAAACTGTTTATTGCTAAACCTCTCCAATTGGTACTCATACAACCCTGGTTTCACATGCTTCATAGCGGCTCTATGAGCTTCAGATGCAATCTTACTAGCATATCTCAATACCTAAGAAAGACAATGAATAGAAATACAAAACAAAACACCTCAAGTTCAGCATCAGTTTTCAGGACTCTGAGCTCTGCGAAAATGGGATAGAGGATGGTGTTGTTGGAAGCGAACTTTCCTATTCCTGCGAAAGTTGGAGGTTCTAATATATTCCCACTGTCTGAGTTATCAGCTTTCTAGGAACGTTAAATGAGAATGAGGAATAGAAAAACAGACACACCAGAAGTAGAACCTGCTGAGCATTCAAATTTTGCAAAACCTGTGAGATAGTGTTGGTGTCATTGAATTTAACCTCGTCAACATTGTATTTCGTCTTGAAAAAAGCCTCATCGTTTATTCTAAAGAATAATATCAAAGAATCTGTTAATCAAACTTCTCACTTTCCATCCCAAATTGCATAGCTAGGATCTAAAATAGGTGGGAAGAGGAAAGAGCGACCACTGTCAACGTCTATAGCTCCGAAAAATTCGCTCTCCTGGACACCGAAAGCCCAAAAGAAATACGACTCCTTAACGAGGTTAAATTAGAATTTGGATAAATGAAGAAATGTACTTGACGAAACGCAAGTTCTTCTGCATCAGTATTGTATCGATTCTGTTCAACACCACCCTTCAACACTACGACGGTTTTAGGTGAGACGACAGCTTTCAAAGCTTGAACAAGACGCTGTCGATTCTCTGCGAAAAGCGCAGCAGAAACTTTGAGAGTATTATGTCCTCGAGAAAACATTTAATTGCTTAATTTTAAAAAAATTATTCAGAGACAAAGAAACGGGAGAAATAAAGTGTCGTTCAACATAATAGATGATAAGACAGAATTCAATGATCAGTTGTTCTGATAACAAATCGAGCATGGGCTTCTTTCTAGCTCAACAACTCTGGGATGATAATAAGTAATACAAATACCATCACGAGGCTATCGAACCTTGAAATATTAATAAACAATTCGCAGAAAAGCGTTTATTGAGAATATTTAACATTGATTGGGCGAGACCGAGAATAGAGAAGATATGGTTATAAACTTTTCCCGAATGAATCAATGAATAAATCTCGCATGTCGAACAACTTTTCAACTAGTCTCTCACTTTCCATTCTTGATGAAATCTGTTCCAAGTGTTTTGAGCTATCTGTTTAACCTCGTGAAGAAATCGCACATAAAAAAAAGAAAAAACTTATAAATTTATATCCATCTAATAAATTATGAAACAAATAAAGAAACCTGCAACCAATACTCGCAATAACCTAATATTACATTTTCTAAGCTAGAAGTCGTTTCTTTTGTTCCCTGATGGTGTACCCGACATGAACGTTGGAGAATCATCGTACAAAAATTGGGGTGCAGGACGAGGAACAGTCTTCTGAGGTTCATCCTGTGTCAAATCGAATGAGTTTCCATCGCTACTGGAAGAGTTATAGTCATATCCTTGAGAGCTATGAGTTTCCTGTGCTCCATAAGAGTGTGATTGCTGACGAGAGGTAGCGTATCCATGTTGTGGGTCATAGTAGTCCTGTTGCACTTCAGGTCGAGCTTGTTGATATGGTTGACCGTTTCTGTGCTGAGCTCGTATTGCTTCATAAGTTTGGCTACTACCACCTTGTTGATACTAAAATAAACATATGAGTAAGATACTCTACCAGTCTTCTATACTTTCGTCCACAATTGCGAGATTTTGGGTTGAATGCGTTCTCTACATAAGCCCATAGAGAAAAGGTTAACGACGGTCATAGATCCTATGCCCATAATAGCATAAAAGCCCCATCCTTTAGGTCCGAAATGATACTGCGCAGGTAAGCGTGTGCGAGCGAAATACAATGACCCTAATATGGCAGCAGAAATAGGTAGACCTCTAGTCATAGCAACCTATAACCGAAACCATTTGAAAGCTCCAAAGTTCAATCAAACCTCAGAAGTGCAACTTCGCATGGTTTCTGTTAACTCTTTCTGCTCATCACTCGAGATTTTATTTAATAAATGCTGGATCTCCTCATTGTTAAGGTGAAGGGCAGCCTTCGGCTGATTCTCACTACCATAAGTGGGAACTTGGTTATTCATATTCCTCTTCCTTCTGAATCATGTTATATCGATTTGTAAAATTTCAAACAACTATTTGATATCAAGAAATATTAAAAGTATTCTGAAAATCGCTTCAAGTAATCATAAGATCATATTTTGTTAAATGGCCGTACAACCTGCGCGACGGCTAAAATGTGTACCAACGCTACTGTTTTTAGACCTTTGATTGAGTGTATGTATGTCACCGTTGGTGTCTTCTTCCGTATTATCTCGTGATGATTCATACTTGTTGGATAAGATGACACAAGTTCTAAAACGAAATACAAATAAAGAAAATCAAAAATATAGTTTCTAATCTCATTCTTCGGATTTTTGGCACCCGACTCCGTCTTTCATATTATCTTTGAGCTTTGTCTTGTTTGAAATCTACTTTCTTCTTGTTTCAGACCACTGTGTCATATTCATTAAGCAGGATTCATGTTAGTTTGATTTATTAATCTTTCATATGCTATTCGCTATTTCAACTGCTAATGCTGCCTCTGAATAATTACGTGTTAATATTTCTTTCAATTCCTTTATCAGGTGAGATTCCGTCTGTAGTGGCGTTCCTATCTTTTCTTTTTACAGTTCTTTCTTTAAATAATTTTGTTGACAATTTCCAAACACTTAACTATAACTCCCGGGCAGTTATTGCTGCTCGTAGGAAAAGGTCGCTCTATTCAGAACCTTTGAATTTAAAATTTAATGCTTATAACAGGTAAGCAGTGAAGTATTTTTGTCATAAGCTAGTTTCTCAGGTCTTTTCATCTTTATTTGGAGCCCATTGACGAATCCACAGGACTCTTCCATGAAAGTCATGCAGTTGACGTTGATGGAGAATATGTGGAAGTAAAGCCACACGAATTTCTTTATGAAGGTTTCATAAAAGGTAATACATTGGGCTTATACAAAGTTTAAACTTTTAACGATTAAGATGATCCTCATTCCCGCGTTTACGGTTCCATTATCGACGGAGTTTTCGATGGTCATATCCATACCTCAGACGGGCACTCTTATTCTGTAGAAAGAGCGTCCAAATATTTTTCAATTGATCGGAGACCCGAGAAATACCATTCTATTATTTATCATGATAATGAAATCAATCACAGGAAAATGAGAGCTAAAAGGTACTTTTATTTTAAATTTCAAAGTTCTACATTCATTTCAAGGGATGCGAAAGATGAGTCTGTGCATGGCTGCGGACTTCGTGATGATATCAAAGATAGTATGGCGAGAATACAACGCTCAGCAGAACCTGCTCCCGATGAATACACGAATTACATGACCATGTATGATTACATATGTTTTTATCTTTCTCATTGCTGTAATCAGGGCTGGACGTAGTAAACGATCAACGAAAGATGCGAAAGGCTTATATTCTGTGCGAACTTGCTCACTTTATTTACAAGCGGATCACAAATTGTACGAACAAATCAGAAGAAAAGAGGGAAATAATGATGGGATTAGGTTTGTTAAACTTCGATTTTCAATCAAAAAGTAGTTTTGTTAGGACAAGAGAAGAAATTGTCAGTTTGTTCTATAATCACATCAAAGCCGTTAATGAGATTTATGAAGGAACAAATTTTGACGGCATTAAAGGATTACATTTCGTAATCCAAAGAACTTCAGTTAGTTTAATATTCTAATTACATTCTTTTATTTTTCTTTTCAACAGATTTTCACCCCTGATACTTGTAAAAATGGCAAAGCCATAGTAGGGTCGGATAATCCTTTCTGTGAAGAAAATGTTGATGTTTCTAACTTCTTGAACCTGAACTCACAGCGAAATCATTCCGCTTTCTGCCTCGCTTATGCCCTTACTTTCCGTGATTTTGTCGGAGGAACTTTAGGACTTGCGTGGGTAGCTAGTCCTCAATACAGTACGATCCAATTTATTGTATTTTATTATTTCTTTGTTCAGATACCGCTGGAGGTATTTGCCAGGTGTATCAACGATATAATGAAGGCTCACGAGGCTGGGTATTCCGATCGCTGAATACAGGAATTATAACTCTTGTTAACTATGGAAATCGTGTTCCTACACGAGTTTCTCAGCTAACTTTAGCTCACGAAATTGGACATAACTTCGGCTCCCCTCATGATTTTCCTGCTGGTCTTTCATTCTTCCCCTACTGCAGCTTCATAAGTTTGTTTTCAGGATGCCAGCCAGGTTTACCCGATGGGAACTTCATCATGTTTTCCTCAGCAACTTCGGGAGACAAACCAAACAACTCAAAATTCTCTCCTTGCTCAATAGCAAATATTTCAAATGTTTTGAATGTAGTTCTTCAATCGGTTCCAGTTGATCCAACGAGAAATGTTGCCATCACTTCGTTGTCTAAGAGAAATTGCTTCCAAGGTTTTGCTTTAAACTCATTGTTCAAAGGACACACGCTGTTTTCCAGAGAGAACATCTGCGTTCTGTGGCAACCAAATTTGGGAACCTGGTGAGGAATGTGATTGTGGCTTCTCTCAGGCTGATTGTGACCAAATGGGTGATAAGTATGTTCTTTTGTTTTATAACCTTCAAAATGATAAATTAAGATGTTGTGTCCCACATGAAACTGGTCGAGGAGGTCAACCTGGTCCGTGTAAGAGAAAGGTAAATGATTCAATAAGTGAAAGTTCAAAAGTTAATTATTTCAGCGTGGAGCAAGATGTTCACCTTCTGAAGGTTACTGCTGTAACTCTGAAACTTGTGGGTTGCATTTATCTTCCGAACTTAAAGTTTGCCGCAAGGTAGTTGTTTTTTTAACTGTTTTTTTTACAACACCTGCTATAGGAATCGGAATGTAGCGAAGCACAAACATGTGATGGACTAACTGCTCAATGCCCTACCTCTACTCCTAAACAAAATGGATTGCCATGTCAAGACTCAACTAAGGTTTTGCTATTGTATTAGATCGAGATCATTCATCAATATTAGGTCTGTTCTGGAGGAAGTTGCAATGGATCAGTATGCGAATTGGTTGGGCTTAAAGATTGCTTCCTAACAGAAGGCAAACCGGAAGAGTTATGTTTTCTCGCTTGCTTCAAAGATGGAAGTATGTTCCGCTTAACCTTGATTTACAATGCCTTCATGTATTACAGAATGTGTATCGAGTGTTCTCTTACCAGAGTTTTTGAATAACAGAACTAATTTCATACAATCAGGAAGAAAAGGAGAAAATGGACTTGTTTTACATCCAGGTTCCCCTTGCAATAACTACAAAGGTAAGGCTCGATGTAAACATCGGTAAATCTTTACTGATCTGCAGGTTATTGCGATATCTTCCGCAAATGTCGAAGTGTGGATGCGAACGGCCCTCTTGCAAGACTGAAAAACTTATTATTTGATAAGAAAACAATTGAGAGTGTTACACAATGGGTTCAGGTGGTTCTTTTCTGAAAATAGCTTTGTAATCAGGATTTGTAGGAACATTGGTGGGTTGTTGGAACTGGTGGCTTAGCTTTAGCGTTCTTCATGTGTGTTTTTGTGAAATGTTGTGCTGTTCACACTCCAAGTACCAATCCAAATAAGCCACCCGCTCTAAATATTTATCAAACGTTAACCAGACCCAGCACACTTATTGTAAGTTCTGACTGTTTGTTTGATTGTTATGTTCAAGTTTAGCGTCAACGAAGACAACGTCACCGGTCTGCTGCAGGTGGAACTGGAGCTGCTACTTCTTCCGCCCAAATGCGTCCTGTTGCTCAAGAAGCTAGACCTAGTGCAAGACCTAGTGCGCGGCCATCAGCTCCGCCTCTGCCAGCTACAGCTCCTCCTGCACCCGTGCCTGTTGCAGTTCAGCCTGCAGTTATTGTAGTAGAACCTCCACCACCTTATTCCGCTGCGGCTGATCCAGCAGCATTGGGTGGACCCCCGAGAGGACATAGAAAAAACAAACGACAAACAGCTGCTGATGCAGCGCCTAAAGAACGAAGGAAAGGGAAATAAATTTTCTTTTCATTTTTGCTCATAGTATTTACATAATCTGTCTATGGTAAATGCGTTTACAGTGTCCTTTCAACGATTGCCTCTCAGATTCACTTGTCTATATCTTTCATCCTCATGTATATTCGATCATTGCTAGGTCATAACTTATGAATCTCCTTTGCACATTCAGCATTTGATTATTTTCTTTTCATAATATTCTCAATATTTCCTAATATCTGGTGTCTTTGGTCTCCTCGAAAGTTTAAAAGTGTGATTTTCTTCCCATTTTTCGTATTTGTCTGTTAGGTTTCCAATTGAATGCGGTTAAGTAATAAGTTGTGATGTCTTTTATAAATCTTTTTAATTTGAATTGTAAACAGTAAAAGTACATTGTGTATTTATAAGGAATAAAGAATCCTTTTAGATATTCCGGAAATATCGGACGTCTTGCGTCTGGTTACCACCCGACGACGGGTTCTGTTTACTCATCGGATCTGTCTGTGCTTCTTGAGGGGAAATTCGGGAAATTCGGGAAAGTCTTGCTCACCTGAGTTGCTCTAGACAATTAACTTCAAAAGAAAGCTGCACAGTAGTAGAATCGTCGATGTCGTGAGTCCATATTCTACCTATTTCTTACAATTTTTCTTGTGTTTTCCTGCGACTTAGCCTTTTCTTTGAACGACGCACTAGGCCATTGAAAAGTTCTTACTGCCTTTGCTACGATGTTCAAAATAAAAAATGAGCAAAAGGAAACACCCATTTTTGGGTTGGTCCAGTTTTATTCTCCAAATCCGATTATCAGAGACTCTGATAAGTACGTGGACGTTTTGAAACTATGGACTACTTGTTGTGGACCGTTTTTGACTTCCACTTTCAAATTTCGGACACTGACCCGCTCTGATGCTTGTTTATCCTAATTGTCACATGGCTCATTGAAATCACTTCCCACACACTTTTTCTTTGTTTTCTCTTTTTCTATTCAATTTGAGAGTTGACGATTTAATCTGATGTCTAGTGGAAACGTACATAAGCCAAGTTCATTTCTCTTCTTTTCTTGATTTCTACTGATTCTTTTTGATTCTGATCTATACACTCATCATCTTTGCGAAAAAAAATCATAAAATTGCTCCAGTTGTTCTTCATTTCATCGAAATATGTCTCAGAATCATAGCTAATCATCAAAATTGCCCTTGAACCATAGTTTCTATTCCTTGAGAGAAACATTATAGCTGCAGTCTTATTCTTGAAATCTGCGGTTGATGGTCTCCCTCTTCTCTCACCCATTAAGCTTAATCGCTCTAGAAAGTTCAACAGAAATGTCTTTTTTGTAACTTTCATCTAAGCGAAGTGGCATTTGTAACAGTTTGTACGTCAGTTTCAACGAATTTCTGTCAATTTCAACGTGTCACAAGTCTTCAACATCTGACATGAGGTGTTGAAAGTGACAACATCTTTAACTTCAAAAAGAATCATTCAACTCGAGACTGCTATCACAATTTGAACATGTTTTTGCTGCCGATGAGCTTCACAAACATGCTGATTTCGATATAATTAAGTGTGGGTGAGAGATGAATCACCTGATTGAACTATGATCCATCAAATACTTAAGTATGAACTTCTTTGTTAAAGATTTCGAGCTTTTATCCTTCATTTCATCTGCTCTCCTCAATTAAATCCATTTTGTCGAACCTTTTCTGCAGAATACACACAAAGTAAAAGCTGTCATAGAGCAATTTGTGTCGGATGCAATCTCGCTGACTGTGCATCGAAAATGTCTGATATAACTCATCAAATATTTCTTTAAATATCTATATTAGTTATAAAGAACTGTATCTCAATTGCTGACAGTCTCCTTATCATAACTTATGCATATTGTATATAAAAGTTACATAAAAACTAGCGAATGTAAAAAAAAATAATTTTACAAAGCTGATAAGAGGACTTAAAATGTGATGTTTTATCTCTTTTTTTTATCAACATCTTTATAATTAATATTTATTTTTAACGTTATAAACTTTAATTGGAGATTAAATGATTAAATACTAACCGAATATGCTAATGTTTCACGTATTGTTTCACGTGCTGATGACGACGTGTGATTGTCATTGTTTGCAATTCCCAGACGCGCACTGCGGTTGTTCATTTTTCAGTTTTTGAGGAAAACTGAATTTCTGTAAAAAGCTTCTAATATTTATTTAAAATATATTTATTGAGAAAGGCTTTTTTTTTATTTAAATAGTAATTATGTAATTGCGTTATGAAACCCCCTATAATGCACTTAGAATTTATTATTTGCACATCCAATTATTTTGAACAGATCAAAACACGTAAAAGATTTGTTTTGAAGTGATTAAGAAGTTTCGAATTTTTATTTCTTTCCTAGCGTACTGTGCGTCGTTTTCGATAGTTCAGAAACATTCATATTGACATTAAGATTTCTCTTCAATACTTATCAGACAAACATTGAACTCTTTTTTTCAAAATTGTTATCCAAAAGTTCGTTTTTTGCTAATTTTTAACATAATTCTCAAGAATTTCCTTCTTTTCTTTCTTTTCTCCTTTTTTGTGACTCTCTCTCTCTCTCTCTCTCTCTTCCTCTCAACGAGTTTAACATGGATCTTCGCAAATATTTTCTCCAGCTCCATCTCTATTACAAACCATTTTGTTTTTATCGTCAAATTTCTATTTGAAAATGTGAGGAATTAGTTGTGGACATGAGTGCTTTCCAACTATCAGAAATCCCTTGTTCCTCTTCATCCACCCTTTTCTCATCCTTTTACGTCCTCCGGGGTTAATGAAAAAATCTTTTTTTTATTCTTTAGCTTTCATTTTTCATTAAAATCTCTTTATATCCGTCTATGGTCATTGTTCCAAAACCTCCAATTGCAAATAAAATAAATTGAAAAGAAAAAAATGTATAAGAGAAGATTCTAAGTTGATAGCCAAAAATCCATGTTCAAAGATTTATTGAGGAGAAAAAAAAGTTTTGAGAGAATGATCTACAGCTTCTTGTTGTTTCCGCTGTTTTTCATAGCTGTACAACAGTATTTCCGGAATTTATTCGTTTCCAGTTATCGAAGAACCTTTCTGTTTTTAGAAACATTGTTATTGTTCCCAAGCAAGATTTTGCTACTTCTGTAACGTTAACTGTTCGTTCATCATTTATGTCTTGTGATGTCAAGTTTGCCTTCCAAACATGCACGCCAGATGAGAATTCAATTTATTTATTACAAGCTTGAAGTAACTGTTTTGGGCAGTTTATTTGATTTTCGAGTGAGCGGAAAGGCTGGCGTAGGGGTTAAGGGTGTGAAAATAAAGATTCCAGGAGGTTAAAAGCCTCACAAGTGTGAAAAAGAATGAAAACAAGAGAATGGGAAGTTAAACATGAGCGACAGAGGTCAGGAGTTAGCTGGAGAGAGATAGAGCTGGGTTTTAGGAGGTGTATTTATCAAAATCGAATGATTAAATGATGGAATTCAGCAATAATTCAAACAATTCAAACTATAAACACATGTGCCCCATTGCACATAATTTATTTAGAAATATTTCGGAATTTTAAAAAACAAAATCTTAAATCTTCTTCTAAGCTCATTTGCGTTTGAAGTTGGACAAGTTAATGGAAAACAGACCAATTAGCATGAAGATACGTGAATTGGCGTGACGTAGGATACTCCAACTTATTTAATTTTTCATGGTTCGATAGGGAGAGCGGTTGTTCATCACCAATTTTCAGCACCATCCATTGAAATGTAGATGCTATGTTTGAACGTGAAGAGGAAGGGGGCGATGAACATTTTGAAGAAAAAAAAGAAATAGTATTTGAAATTCAAAGAGATCAAAACCATTCCCCGAAATGATTGTCAAGAGGAAATGGAATGTTTCTGTAAATTAGTGTGGAGAACGCTCTAATGTCGATGTGCCCATGTGGTATTGTTGAGGAAGAGGAAGCGAGGATGGAGGATATTAGGAAAAAAACTCCTTTTCCAATTCTTTTTCTCTCATAGTGATTCGGATTCGAAGACATTTTCTCAGGAAATACAAAGCGAGAGAGAGGGAGAAGAGGAAGAGAGCTGGATAAAGAATGGGAGGGACGATGTGGGAGGAGAAGCTACTGCAAAAGCCGCCAAAGTAGATGAAGCACAGGATGAAGTTTCTGTTTGATCAGGCATCATCCTAGTAATTATCATATATAGGAAGCCGATTTCCTGTTTGAATCATACATTTTCTTTTATACATAACACTAAAGAAATGCATTTAAACATCATGAGCTTGCTTTGCACTGAACTTTACCAAAAACTCATTAAACTTATATGACATTATGCTTTCATTATCAGTCTCTTTCACTCAGTTTGGGCGTATTTGTCTTTTTTTTGTCGTTGCTCTCTTTGATTGCCTTAGGCGCACGAACGGAAATATCCGGATTTTAATTGAAAAAGCCTTTTTTAAGAAAATAAAAATAGAATTATGCTTCATACAATTAATGTATCAAATTATATCTCAAAAATCCTTAATTATAAGGTTGACTTTCTGCATAACTCTCTTCTTCCATCTCATTTTTGTCTTTTTCTCTCTCTCTCTCTCTGTCTCTTTCTCTCTCTCTCTCTCTCTCTTTCTCTCTCTCTCTCTCTCTCTCTCTCTCTGTGTTTCTCCCTTTGTGAGTTTCTCCTATTTGTTCGAGCCCAGTTTACACATCTTTTTTCATCTCTTTTCGATAAACAATATAAATCTATTTCTTGTACACTAGTAATAGGCATTCATTAGCTTTTACTTCCAAAAGATTTGCCATGTTTTCTCACTAAAATCATCCATCTAACTCTGTCAAATCTGAGCTTTTCCTGCGACTTTCCATCATTCCTGCAAGTTCTCTCATTCATCCTCACAATACTAACCGGAGCGAAGTGTGAGCGAGACGGTGTTAGAAGATAACAGAACGTTTTTAAACGTTCCATTATGCCTCTTGTTTCACTATAAAAGCTTACAGGGATAAGCTACATCTAATCATCTCTATCATATGTAAATTATGTATTTCCACTTCATCCTCAAGAACATCTGACATGCCGACAAGAATAAGCTTGTTTTGTCTGTTTTTCGTTTTATGATCTTTCTGTTGAAATATTTTCTTTTTCTTTTTATCTCTCTATCTCTCACTCTCTCTCTTCCTATCACTCCTTCCCTCTCTTCTCTCCTTTTCTTTTCGGTATTTTTTAGGTTTCCAGACCTTTTTTTATCGTGTATTCCCATCACTGTTTGTTGTTTTTAACATAAGAAATTATCATTTTACATTCATTTCTAAACGTTTCTAACCTTGTTACTCCTTCTTACATTCATTCTCTCCCCCTCTCTCTCTCTCTCTCTTCCATTCTCTTCACAGGACATTCTTTAATTTAAATATAATTTTTTTCTATCTTTCTTCCTCCTTAGCAGTTTGCTCAGTGACCCTATGCACTTTGAATTATCCACTCAAAAAGCTTGAAATATTCCTTTTCGTTCAAATTCATTCCCTTGCTGGAACACAACCGCTTCTTTCGTCAAACATTCTCAAAATGATTTTCATTCGCAGCACTTTCCATCAGCAAAAAAAATTATGCAAATGAAGTTCAAAACTCTTACATTATTTTGTGTTTTATGATTAAAATATGATTCTGATTCTTAATGTGTTGTATGTTTTCCGAAAAGAACAGTTAGACGAATGGCTTCGGCCTGGGAAGAAAGTTTCGAAAAAACAAGGCGAAAGCAAAAGCTTATCTAATTGCCTTTGAGTTTTCTTATCTCTTTCTCTCCCTCTCTCTCTTTTATCGCTTTTGTTAGACCTTTTCTCTCTCATCCTCTCCATGTTTGAGAACCTTCGCTGCCTCTCTTTATATTGTTCTTTCTTTAAGGATTTTGTTCTTATCTGTGCTCCAGAACATCTTGCTTGCGCTCTATTGCCCTTCTTATTGAAAGTTGTTCATATCTCTTTACTCTAACGAAACAATATTTATTTGTTTTTCATTTTAAAAATTAAAATACGTATGATATTAAACTCCAAATAGCTTTTTAATGTGAAGGCTAGATGGTAAATTCGAAAACGGAATGAAAAACCTGTGTTCTACCCGCTTGTGCAGAATAAAATAGATTGTCTCGGACTGAAGATAATGCAGGAGAAAGGGGAATAACAAGAGCAACCATAATAAGAAAAAGGAAGGGAGAAGGAAGGAGAGAAAGAGGGAAAATTAGAGAAGGGAAAGGAACTTAAAGACTCCAAAGTCTGATGACCAGTCGAACAGGATAGAACGTGAATTAAAGTTTTCGTGTGGAAATCAGTGTGGTGTTTGTATAAAATTCAAGAGTACCCCCTCCCCTTTTTAGATTTTTTGTTGTCTTAAGGTTCTCTCTAATCTCTTTCTCGCACTCTTTCTTTATCTCTCTCTCTCTCTCTTTTCTGATCCCTATACGATCTATCTATCAGATATTTTCTCGTAGTCTTCTCTTCGTTCTTTATCTCACTTAAGTCATTTGTGTGTGTTTGTCGAATTCCAAAAATGTACAAAGGACGTCCGTATAGCTTCCAGATGCTTACATCTCTTCATCTCTGGTCTATATGATATCGAGGCTTTGTTGTCATAACTCAAGCAGTTACCTCCTAAATACCTTTAAGCTTCGATCAATGACGCTTTCGTCATACAAAAAAAGAAGTCTTCAAAAAGCGTATTCGCTTTGTAAACAATTAAAAACTTTTTGCAAAAGGTAAAGAAGGAGAAGAAGAAGGAGAAGCTAAAGTTGCATTTTTCATATCTTCCCATTCATCTTCATGTAGACTTCATCATCCTTTGTTTGCTAAATATGCGCTCATACTATCTCATGTACTGCGAACATCTGATGCTTTAATCAAAAAACTTTTCCTCCTTTCTCTCTCTCTCTCTCTCTCTCTATCCCTTTCTCTCTCTCAATCTTTCTCTTCCCTTTTATGAATTTACAATTGAAAATGTAAAAAAGAGCGAGCGCAAAAATCTCCTCATTTTTTACATAATTTTTGATTTTAACAACGCCCGTCATATTCATAATCTGATTTTCAATGTTTGTTATTTTCTTTTCTTTCTTTTTTCTCATCAAACATCTGAATCATAGTGTCTCTCCCTCTTTTTTATTTTTTATTTTAAAAATCGAATACATAGTATCTCTTTCTACCTCTTTCATTCACTTTTTTTCTCTCTCTCTCTCTCTCTGTTACTCCTTGTACAACCTCGTTTCTTCCCTCTCATTGCTTCATCTTCTCCTTCTGTATTTCTAGCGAGAATCATCTAAGCTGTACAGTTTTGATCGTTTTCTCATTTATTTATATTTGTGAAAGGTAAGGTTTGAAAATATTTGTTTTCTGCAATCAAAAAAGAGAAATCTAAAAAGCTGAAGCTTCAGCTGACCTTTCTGACCGAACAACACAATCCATTTCAAAGAAATTTCCGAAACAAATGACATGCGACTTGACCAAATCGACGTCATTTAATGAAATTTTTTTTCCAAATATGGTCAAAAGCTTCATATTTCGGTGTTTTTTGTGTGTGTATGTGTGTGAGAGAAAGAGTTTGTGTGCATGTGGACGAGTGTGAGTCTATCTGTCCTGACCATTGATGCTCGCATTAAAAATGCTCTAAATGAGCATCATTAGTTAGTTGAGAAAATAAAAAAAGTTGAAAATGATATTTTTAATTAAACTTCCACAAAATTTTATTATTTTTCTCATTCATCCTTCTATATTCGTTTGATAAGCTGAGATGGACGAGAGGTTTCCGAAATGAAACTGTCTTCATTCACTTGTTTTCATTTTTTATTTTCATTTCCTTCTTCGTTCATGTCCTATCTTTATATTTCTGTTCTTTTCAGCATTCTTATTATAACATTTACTTATTTTTCAGAAATGTTGAACCGTACAGTTATTAAAGCCATCTGTAATGGTTCACAGCCTTGGCCAACGGGTTTGCCAATTACGGAATGCGAGTAGGTCTCATTCTGTTTGTAAAAGGATATTAATCAAACATTCAACTTATTTTTTAATTTTATATTTGTTTATTACTTAAAACACTTTTTTTTTACAAAATTGCATTTGTCTCTCCTTCTTCTACTTGAGCATCTTCTTTCTCATAATGTTCTTGTTGAACGAAAAAACTACTCTTTCTTCACTCTCCTTCTATCTCAATCTATATCCAAAAACCTAATTTATGCGAAAGCTTGAAAAGCTTAGAAAGCATATGGTCGGATCAAAAATATTCAAATTTTTAACAAAATTTGAAAGTTGAGAAGCTTTCTGATGATGTTGACGTCATAAAAAACGTCGTCGCCGCCGTCCTCGTGTGAATTGGTTTTGATCGAATGTCATTTTTTTTGTTCATGTAAAAACAAAATGAGATTTGGCTAAAGTTCAACAAGAAGAAGAGAGGAGGTTAGCATAGAGATGAACTATGAAAAGAAGAATATACATATAGGGATAACAGCTAAATAACAATGAATGGATTATTTATTTTTCAGGCAATATTTGACAGGATTAACAGAATCTACCATGGATGATTCATATTCATTCTCCACGCGTATACTAATGACTTTCATATTCTCTGTTCTTAGCTTAATTGGCGTTATTGGTAACATTCTGGTCATCACTGTTGTTTTCAAAGTCAAGGGAATGGTATGTTTTGATTTTTCCATGCGCTTGTTCTCGCAACGTTTGAGTCCGTGTGTGTATATAAGTTAGTTCCGTATTCCATTCTGGAAGACATTTTGAAACTTTCAAATCGACCTTCGCATCAGTTTTCTTTCCCAGACACTCGTTCTAAATAAATTAAGAATTATGTTTGCTTTCAAATGACGTGAACGTGTAAATGATCTGTACAATAACTTTTCAAGATGTTCATCCTCTTTAACTTTTTCGTTTTCTCCGCAGTCTTCTTCGATCTTTCAAAGATTTTCCTTTCAAAATTGATATGAAATTGACTCATATCGCCCATTTACTCAAGAGGTTAATTAGACAAACGGAGAATATAAGAGAAAACCATAGTTAGAGTGGAATAGACGGCTAGCGATATGCCTTATGATGAGATGCAAGAGCAGAAGGATCAATTGAAATGTGAAGTTCGTGTGAATTTGCTCAAGTGATCGAGACATTTGGACAAACAGACGACTTCTGGAGATATGTGACAGAGAGATGAACAAAAGCTGATCATTATGGATATTGAATAAGTGTGTCACACTTAGTGAGGGCTCACAGAAGTTTTTTTTCTTGAAAAACAATTTCGAATTGTGGATTGGGTTGATTCAATTGTACTTACCAGTAATAATAAAAAAAGGAAATGAAATAGTGTACAGGAACAAAGCTATATATGGATAAATAAAATTAGAGGATAGAGGTGAAGAAGGGGACGGAGAGGAGAGGAGATGTTTGGTGATTGTGAGAGAAACAACCGTTCACGTCGACCACGCGATAGTAAATGAGAATGACGTTTTGTGAAGAGGGTCACGAGAATATGAATAACACGTGGAATATCAAATGAACCCTAATTTATGCTAATTTTAGAAAACTCCCACAAACTGTTATCTGGTTTCACTTGCTGTCAGTGATTTGTTGTTTTTCGTTGCAACAGCACCAACAGAATTATCATATCTTCATGTGGATTCTGGTGAATACATATTCGGAAGTGTAGGTAATGAAACATCAACTAACACAACAGAAAACCTGATTTTAACAAAAAATTATTTTAAGGATGTGCATTATTCTCTTATTTACCATATTTGGCAATAAATTCATCATCGTTATCCATAACAGCCTTTACCATAGAGAGATTTATTGGAATATGTTATCCATATCAAGCACGGTAAGCTGTATTAAACATGATTTCAAATAATTTTTTTTAAAGATCAATCTGTACTGTGAGTCGAGCTTGTCTGATCATATTCTGCATTTGGGTATTCTCCATCATTTATAACTCTCCCTGGCTGTATTTGGCCAGTATAGCAGAAGACAGTGAAGGAACATACTGTAATTTCAAATTAGATCGTGATAACTGGACATACAAGGTAATTTCATAACTTTCAATATATAAATAGTATAATTATTATATTTAAAGACAATGTTTTTGATGGATTTCGCTGTATTTTATATGATTCCAATGCTTTTAAATATTATTATTTATGGTCGAATAGCTATGACATTATCACAATGTGGAGACAAATTGAAACAATCCGTTAAACGTAACTTTTCATTTCATTATTTCACATTATGCTTTATATGATTATTTTCTAGAATGCAAAAATACTGAAATATCTCCAATATGTGATAATAATATGGAATATCATGTGTCCGGTAGACGTAGTACCATTAAAGGAAAAAATCAGGTTTGTTTCATTTTTCTTGATATTTCAGCTTCTAATTTCAAATGTGCTCAGGTTGTCAAAATGCTCGCATTAGTTGTTGTTGTGTTTGCAACTTGTTGGCTTCCTTATCGAGCAATGGTTATGTACAACTCGTTCGCCGAAAATAGATGGAATCCCGATTGGTACGTTATAAAATAATATACTTTCTTTTGAAATTGTATATTAAAACACTATAAACATGTTAATTATGCTATAAAAACCAAATAAGAGCAACGTCATGCGGTAAGGGGTTCGTGACACGTTTTAACGACGACGTTTGCATCCCGTCGATAGCTCAGTTGGTAGAGCGGAGGACTGTAGAGTTGTGGGTATCCTTAGG